TGCTACCACCATAATCCTAAATGCAAACAATTGACCGCCATGAACACCTCGCTCAGATAACAAGCAATGAGCTTGTAATCCTTCCAGACCACAAACCCTTCAGTCCAGATCATCACCCTCGGATACCGCCCCATCCTGGATTCTTTTCCGCGAAATAATAAGAAATCCAACGGTTTATGACGTCGGTCCAGATTCAATACAGCCAAAATTCCAATTCCAATTTAGACTGATGAAGGATTTGTTATTGATTGCGAATATACCGGTACGTATGCGAGAGCCTTTACCTGTTTACACATCGCACGCATTAAGTAAATCCTTATTAATTTGAGTATTCCAAGTACATCCGTCGTATACAACAAGCCACCGTCGTAAATTCCGCAGTCTATGTATTCGTAAGTTGTAACGTGAGAGATACGGGCACAGCGGAATATTATCGGTTAGTACGAGATATAGGATTTGTTTTTAGGTACTTTTCGTACTTGCTCAGGTGGGCTTAAAAGGTAGGACGGACCCCGAAATCAAAGTTTGGAAATACTTAAATAATAAATAAAATGCGTTATGCGCATGACTTCCGTTTTATGAGTCTAAGTGTACAATGTATACGCAGGATGCTATAATAATAAGAGAAAAAATTCAAAGAAATTGAGAGGGGATTCATGTAGTGTGATGTGATGTGATGTAGGAAAAATTACAAGCAAGAAATTGTGGAAATGAAAAGTATTGGAAATGGATTGATTAATTGATTGAATGGAGATGGAGATGCCCCTTCATTTTTCGCCAATCTATCTTTCTCTACCACCAGCCTTATCTCCACGAGATCCTTCAACAACACTTACAAATTATTAATAAATCCTAGAAAACCCAGAATTCCAGTTTATGAACAAATAATCATCGTCCTCTCTGATTTATTAAAAACGTCAAAAACTCCATCCATATACATAAACTGTCTTGAAATACTTGGCAGATCATCCACCCAAAATACACACCAGTATTCGTATCAGATGAGGTGGCATGGGGCAAAAAATGATTACACCAGTGATCAGTGAGGTTACAAATTACTTTTTAGGAGTTTTAGTACTTTAGGTAGTGATACCTATATGCAGGGTCTGTGAGGGGTGACAATTTAGGCTTTTGGATGCTCCACTATGACAGAATTATGTGAAGAGAAACCCTTGTTCAAACGCGGCTTGGTGGGCGCAAGATTTCTTTTTTCCTTTTTGACTTTACTCAAGGAAGCCGGAGTTACGACGCACATGGAACGGATGGATTTGAGTCAGTATGTATGTTCCAGTTATTAAAAGTGTAGGTCTCCCCTCGGGGCGTGGATGATCTCTCTGATTGCTTTTCTATATTGTGTTGGGTATTCGCTGTTCTACTCATATAGTATCTCGAATCTTTATATCTTTTTTTTTCTAAGGTTGTGTATGGGTCAATCTATGTATTGATATTACTTTACAACTCTTGATATACTTCTATATATACGGGACGAATTATAGGTTATATAAAAAAATCACCCAAATATATCTACATTGAAACTCAACATTCGAACACAACTAAAGCATCACAACCAACAATCATTAGACAATGTCTACCTCACCCAACGCCAAAGCCACGCTTCGCCCCTCCAAATTCATCGAAGGGCCTCCCCTCACCTCCACGGCCCCTAATCTTGCCCAAACAGACTCACAACTACAACTCATCCTCCTCGAAATGGATTCCTACGAGTCTACTCACAAATCACCTCGCAAATCTAAATCGCGAACTTCTTCGAGCAGTTCTTCTAATTCTAATTCCTCACACTCTTCTCACAACTCTACTTCTTCGCTATCCTTCTTTACGAATTCTTCGAAACGAATGAGTCACGACTATTCTTCTGCTATCTCTACAAGTAATAAGATACTCAGCGGAGTGAGAGCGAGCATAGATATGAGTAATCCATTTTCAAGCTCAGAGTCTTTGGGAAGAAGTAGATGCAGCATCATTGAGACCACGAACGAATCGGATGAGGGATCGATCAAAGATGCACAGCCACTAGGATCGAAGATTAAAGGCAGGTTGAGAGCTTGGAGTCGGGGGAAGGACGATGCATTCAGACCTTATGCGGCCACTTGAGTGAAATGGGATCTGTTGGGAATAAGATTGGAATGGGTTACATTACGAAAGTTACATTACGAAAGTTACATTACGAAGTTACACTATGATTGAGGAAACTCGATACGATATGAGGTTATTTGATGGAACGAATCACTGGCAAGATAGACTCTGTCAGATGAAGAGGAGATCATTTTTATAAGGCAGAATGAAGAATTCACATGCATGTCGATGCTCCAAAGAGGAGGCAGACGCTGTGTTGCAGTAGGGTTGAAGGGAATAGGTTAGGCAAAGAGCCAACGCACAGCCATTTATGGAGAAGAGGTCCCGAGACAAGATTTTGTGGAGGGGGAACCGAGCACGACACGCGATAAGTCGAGACAAGTAGATAAACTGTTGCTTTGACAACAAAAATATCACAGAGAAATTGCAGGATAGATCAATAAATACATATTATAAACACTTGATACGGTTGTCCATATTTGGCATGAGATGTTATGTTATTCACACATATTACCGTATTCCATATCTGATACCAAATATCATGATTCATGACATATATGCAGAAGACTCAAATCATCTCAAAAGTCCAAATTAAGTCGAACATTCTCAGCGCTCCCAAAATCCATCATGATCACATGGCACCATCCAATCTCCTTTTTTCCTAGCACCTCGAATCCAAAAAGTCAATGATAAACTCACCGATCTCAATGGTCAACGCGGACCGGAAATACAAAAAACACCAGGTGACTTTCAATATTTTCCCACCCGCAGAATCCCTAACTATTTTCAGCAGAAGGCCTTACCCGTCCCTGCCTAGCTTCATGCGAGCCGGTAGTTGACGGTAGTTCGATCCGTCTCGCGCATCTGATAGGATGAACGGAAGCCCAATGAAACGGGACGATCATTCCCCAACCTCGTGTTTCAAGCACAATGAAAAACTAGTGATTCGAACGATTCATTTCTCAGATGCATTTCGTGTCTATGCACGTTTATCGATTGGGGATCTGCTTGCTTCACCCTCTTCCTGCAGAAGAAATATCGATTGTCGAGTCACTCATAATTCTATTTTAATATGCGCGTCCCGCACCCCACAAACTCTCATATCCGCGCTTGGCAACGTACGTCCCGGTTTACCCAACACTGCTACCGCGTCGCTCGGCTTCTCTATTCGGTGGTCATCGTTACGCCGCAGATACCCCTTATATTTCTCTCTGTCTTATTCTCTCTTTCTTATTATGGCCGTCCTCATTGGTCCTTCACATACCGTGCTTCTCTCCTCATCGGCTCCCACATAGCCTGGTCTCTAAATCCTGGTACCCAACCCCTTAAAGATGTTCTCTCCTTTCCCGCCCGCTGTTCCATCCCCAAACTCACCGACGATCAAAATGCACAATTAGAGGTCATACCACCAGCAGACGAAGTCTGGTTCAAGGGCGATGCATCACACCCGACCATCAAACCAGAAAGTTGTCCATGTTTCTGGCAATGGACACGCGACCTTTCCCCTCCCGTTGGCGACAACTCTTCCCCATTATCACAGAGGAAAATCGTGATGTATTTCGTAGGCGGCGGAATGGTTCAAGGCCATCCGCTTACATCTTCTATTCCATGGCGCGTGATGCAGAAAACCCATATCCCCATCTTCGGCGTCAATTTCCGCAAATGTGTAACTGCCAAAACGGCATTTCCAGCAGCCCTACAAGATGCGCTGTCGGCATTCTCCTTCCTCCTCGAGATGGGATATCGCCAGGAAAATATCTCCGTTATGGGAGATTCGGGAGGCGCGGGAATTGTGATTACGCTTTTGTTGTATCTGAATAGGTATAGTCTTCCGATGCCGGAAAACGCGGTGCTGATTTCTCCATTTGTGGATTTGGCGTCGAGGTTTGATGGGAAGGGGGTGGGAGAGGAAGAGGAGAAAATTCTGTTGGAGTTGGATTTTATGAATAATGAAATGCTTGCCATGGCGGGATATCAGTACTGTGAGAATAGGCCGGAGTTGAGGGAGACGCTTTTGAGTCCGGCCAGGGGGATATTGCCGGAAGGGTATAAATTTGAGGGGCTTTGTAGGTGTATGGTTGTTCGGGGGGACGCGGAAACTTTCTGCTCGGGTATGTATATGTTTGAATGTTTGATTGTATGAGTGATCAATGAGTATTGACGATATACAGGTATACAAAAATTAGTAAATCATCTACGTCAAGCAGGTGTAAAGGTAGAGGCCGTGGTTGGAAAAGATGAAGTTCATGATTATCCCATATTCTCGAAAGCTGATGGTCCGTACGAGTTTTATGGGCGAGTAGCAAAATTCTTGGATGGAGATGGAGTTTATGATTGAGTAAACTGGGCGAGGAGTGTGTAGGGATGTATCTGATGGGGGGAGGGTGGAAGATTGGAGGATTATTGGGTAAGATATGGGCTTGATGGCATGAGGATATACAATATTAAGTGCATGGGCAGACTGTTTTGGACGCTCTGGACAAATCACTTGCAGAAATTCTACTACAATGCCAAGCCAGCGAGAAACGGTTCAATCATGTCATTAGCAAAGTGTGTGATCACCAGTATCAAGGCTCACTCATAAACTTCGACGGATATAAATTTCTTGATGAAAATCTTCGATTTCTAACTAAAAAATGTATACGACGCATCAGTATGTTTTCCTTGTGCCATAAGAGTTTAGCGGAATCATTGCCAGCCCGAAGCATGATCGTCCTGGAAAAGGTTAGGTTCGTCCATATGATTCGGAAAGCTGGTGAATCATAGAGACTAGCTACGAAGTGTGGGTGGCAGAAAGAAGTTCAAGAAGAGAAGGGAAAATGAAAGCTAGCATGAAGCTGAGAAGGTACTTCTGCTGAAGGCTGTTGTTCATTATCGAGTGGTAATCGAAAAAGAAGGTCGTGTCGTCAACGTCTGAATCGGGAAAGGGAAGATTTATGGCCCTTTCGCTGGAAAGCTCTGGAGGAGCTTGGTGAGTTATCGTGATCGAAGAGTAGAAGGTCCATGAATGATTGAACCATGGTGGTGAGTTTCTTGTTTGCGTCTTGATCGATTCGATCCCTTCTCCTTTGTTGAAATGCTTTGCTTTGCTTGCCTTGCCTTCCTAGAATTCCGATAGTTGACTCAACAGCATGAGAGCGACTGAAAAGCGATTTTGAGCCCTCGAATCTCCTATGTAGTGTAATTGATGTGTGGAACCGGTTTGTATTTGGAACGAAGAAATGGTCATCTGCAGCGGTCGATGCATATTCTGAATCATCTCATTTTTTCAGGCAATCTACAAAGTCAGTTAGCATGAGCAACATCGATAATGAAAGCAACGTTGAATTTACATACCATTTCTTCTAGCGTATCTGCTATGCCATTTCCTGAAAAAAATTGATATCCATCGTGATATGCTGGTGTCGAATGTGGTAAAGGGTGTTGCCTTGAAACTGAGATTTTCGGTGCTAACTTCAAATGCCTCGAATAATCCCAATCAAATGTAACTTCTGGACAATCTGTTGGCCTTTACAGAGAAGTCTGAAATCCATATACCAGACTATGTTCATCCTCGGAGGTGTATTGAATCGCGCAATATGACACATTACGGGTTGTTGACGGTAGAATTTCTGTCAGTTGATTGGAAGTGAGAAGGTGTTAGTGGGGAGAACGACGTTATGGTGAAGACTTTACTTTTGACGTAAACAGAATCGGCGGAGATGGGTCAAGATGTAGCTGCGCTCGTCTGTGTGCTTGCATCTCTGACTGAATCGGAAGACGTCGAAATAAAGGAAGATCGGCAGTCAGGAAGAGAAAAAAAAGTGCGAGAAATTCCCATTCTCAGCCGGTTGAAGGTAGGTGATTGTTGCGTAGAGGCTACCCACCAAGGAAACAAGATGATCGAGATATCTAAAGACTTGGAAGCGTTTTGTCCTCAAATAGCTTAGATCGAATGGTTTATTGGGAGATAGATAGGATAGGAAGGATGGCGACTGGAGAATTGGACCTGCGTGGAGTTTATCCCTCAAGTCCTGTTCGATCTATGAACTCTGAAGACAAATAAGGTCAACGTCTTTAGAAATCATAGATCGAACAGGACTTGAGGATGTCAAAGCTGGAGAGTGGAAGTTGTGATTGAAAGGAAAGAAAAAATGAGGTTGTAAAAAAGGAAATTTAAAGTCGTCAATGGAAGCGAGAAAACAAGTCAAATTCACTTGTCTGTTTACCTACCTGTGAAAAAATTTCTCACACTAAATTAAGCGCAGCGAATCTTCGACTTCTGATTGAAAGTGAAATTATGAAGTTTGGATGAGTACTGGATGCCTATGCGAACTTCATTCTTCCTTTCTCCCTGTACTTATCTGGTGGAGGAGAAATAACAGCATGCTTCCCGCTCCTTTCTCAACGCCGGAGACCTTTTATCTGATATGAATACAACACATGAGAACACATAATCCCCACCGTATTGGGAGCACACGTTGTCTGAAGCCCTGTGTCTGTGAGTGCAGATCTGAGGGAGACATCCCTTGTAATCTTCTCACTATTCAATAGTGGCCTTTTCTTTCTACCAGCACTTCTCACAAGATATAGAACTCACAAGATGGATCGCACTTTGAGAATGAAGACACCTCTTCAAGCCCTCGCCTGGGACTGTGCACGTTGAAGTACAACTTTCGTGTGAGATCCCATGTCGAGCAAGTGTGGGAATTGTGTACATAGAGAAGATTTTCTGCTCTATGTGGCCGTTTCCCACGGCGCGAGCTAATTGCGCAACCTTCACGATGAGGTTCGAACCATGGTATGATTGGAGAGAGCCTTGATAAATCTTAGAGTATTCTCAAATTCACTGCTTGGAATACAGTTTAAAGATGATCATTCCGTATCTTCGTCGCTTGTACTCAACCGGGGCTCACTTCAACTCCAAAGCCTTTCACCAATACCCAGGTTGGGAGTTGGGTCGAACGAAGAGAGCGAAATGAAGAAGAAGCAAGAAGTGCATTACTACTGGAGGGAAGAGTGATACGATTAACAGCATAACTTTGATGCAAAAGTAAGCAAATACTACTTACACATTTCACTAATAATGGTTTATGGTATGATCAACTCATAACACATGCTCCTCGAGGAACATATTCTGTCAACTATCTCATATTCAGACTGTACTTCAATCATTACATAATTTCTTTAGAATTCAAAGTCTTGAATCTGAGACCAACAATACTCAAAGATTTATCCACCTACGTAGGTAGTAAAACGTTAACTCAAAATCGATGAAGAGAGTTTGAATGTAAGGTTTTTCGACCACAAGCAATCGATAACTGGATGTCAGAGTCAGGTCACGTGAATATTCAATGAGCAGGCCGTGCACAAGAACTTTTGCTCATAGCTACCAGAGTTACCTAAATTGAAATCCCAGAGTACTTCCAGGATTACTATTGATGGAGTGTGAGCCATATGAGATTTCTTGAGGTAATGGACGGACACACTCTCTATCATCACCCAACACCCCCTTTTTTAATAGAAGGTGTGCGATGCACACAGAGCCTGAAACTCAATAGAAGAGAGGCCCACTCAAGAGCAAGAGAACGCACTCCACACAACCGCCTCCCTCCTCACCCAACACCTCGATCATATAAGTTTCGATCGTAAAACCTTTGATCATACGACCAGAGCTTCAGCCAATCAAAGTCACTATAACATACAATCATCTTGCTTGAGCTGTGGGCACTTCACTTGATTTGAACATCAGTCAAATTTTCGAAATGCTGGTGCCCTTTCACCGCTATTTATTTATAGTCCTTGGTGCAAAACATGGTGTTTTAGACAAAGTCGCTACCTGTCATCGATTGATTGAGAGATGGTGTAGACTATAAAGGATGAGCCCATCACTTAAAATACACCAGATCATCAATGATTTTAGTCAAGGATGACAGGAGCAGGCATTTCGCCTGGCCATCGATCATAATGCTGAAGATCCCAGGAGGCACAGTTGTCTGAATTGGACATTGATAACAGATTTCTTAAATCTAGAGCCCTTATGCTATGAACTTCATATCGTGAGGTTTCATCTCACCTGTCGACATGATACCTATTTGGTAAAGTTATTCATTCGTTGGAAATGTTATGCAGTTCACAACTTCTATATCAGAGCGAGTAGAAGATCTTGTGGAGTAGATATAGAATGGAGATATAAAGGGATCGAACTTCTCTCCACTGCAATCTTCTTTCTTCATACTTTACAACAATTCCAATGTCTCTAGTCTCTCTTCGCGTTACTTTAAGATGTCGTTGTCCACCACACTTAATTTGTGGCCCACCCAGAGCTACGTTACGGTCAATTTTCGACCTCCCACTTTCGATGTTACGAAGACGGGAGAAACTCAATCAGGCTTGATTCTCATAAATCCAGTTCTGAACCCCTTGAACAAGTCGGATCTCGACGCCGCAGTCTCCGCCATTGGACCCGTTCAAGCTAGTGCATGTGGGATTTTTACCGAGGGCGGGCAACTTGTGTGGCAGGGCCCATATGCTTTTGCTGAAGATTCCACATTTCCTCCCTTATTCAGTACGAATCTTATGGTTCAAGAGTACATGGGCAAACCTGTGTTGACATACTGGCAAGGTGTTCGTAAAAGCCACGGTGTTGCATATGGAAATATCACCATACTAGATGATACCTATACGCCAATCACAACGATCTGTCCAAAATTAAATCTCATCACTTCACCGAGTGCTAATTTGACTGATCTCGCATGTTTTGGCGATTCCCACGAATTGTTCATCACACCTTCAAACACCCTAATTGTCAGCGCAGGCAACCTTACCACTATGGACCTTAGCCCAATTGGCGGTCCAAGTGTTGGCTATGTGTACGACTCTCAGTTCTACGAGATTGACATTGCAAGTGGTGATATAATTTTCAGCTGGAGTTCTGTTGCCTCTGGTATTCCTATCACATACTCCAAATTTATACCAGGCGTTAACTCTGGAACTGGTTTAAATTCGAGTGATCCTTTCGATTGGTTCCACATCAATTCTGTATCATCTGTCGGAGATGGGTATCTTGTTAACAGTCGTCACTGCTGGGCTACTTGGTATCTCAATAGTGCCGGTGAGGTTGAATGGCGAATTGAGGGCAACAACACCGAGGGACAGAGTGATTTCGTGGTTCCTAAGGAAGCAAATTTTGTAATTGATTTCCCCAAGCCATCATATTTCATCAACTAATCACATATCAGAGATGGCAACATCATGCTCGCGTCAGCAATTACACCGAAAAAAGTGCCGTCCTTCACTACTTTAACAACCGCTTTGATGAGTTCGCAGATAAAAATGTAGCCAGCCAATCCAATGGTCTGCAACTCTCTCTTAACCTTGTAGATAAAACTCTAGTCGTGGAAAAAATCCTCAACGATTCTGCCTACCATGGTTTCAGCGATTCTCAAGGATCATTCAGCCCACTCGAAAATGGCAATACATTCGTGGGCTGGGGTGCTATTACTCGTCTTACTGAATTCGGTCCCGGTGGTAATGATGACGTTCGTCTACGAATCCAATTCGGCTATGATGATACCGCCAATTCATATCGCGCCTACAAACAATCATGGAACGCGACGCCAGCTTGGGACCCAGATGTCGTAGGGGTCAACAACACCGCATACATGAGTTGGAATGGAGCAACCGATTATACGGCATGGGTCATATATACAGGAATTAATGAGAGCGATCTCGTGGAAGTAGCTACTGTTCAGAGAGGCCATCTTTTCGAAATTAGCTATCCTATTAGTAGTAACGCTCGGTATTTGAAGGTTGCAGCGTTTGCTGGGAGTACTTTTATGAGAAATTCGTCGCTGGTTACTGTTGAGCCTTCCTATTAGCACTCTATTATATCATAGAAGGTAATAGTGATGTTGAATATAAATCTCAAAGGTCATGAATACAACAAGCTTTGGTAGAGAAATCAAGAACTCGGTTAATTTAATGAATATATTGGACTTTATCACTTTTCGCACTTTACTTCTGTGCGAATACAGTATTTCTCTCATCTAGATGGTTTTCATTTGGAGAATTCTCACAAAGGAATTTCATTCATACACGGGGAAAAGAAAGTCATTCTCTCGATGATCTACCTCTCACGCTCCCAAGATTGCTGTCCCAACTCTTAAAATGTTCCACCTGACTCAAGTGAACACAATTCCCGGCATGTTCGGGTCAATCGGGATACTCGGAACCATTAACGTTTGATGCCCTACCCGTGTATCTCCCAGGGACGCTTTCATGATTAGATTGTATTCGGGTCGGTTTTTAGAAGAGAATACGCTCCGCGGGTACCCATTGCGCAGCCTAGACTGTAAAGAGGAGCTGGCTATGATTTACTGTGGTTTATGAAAAGCATGAGATAGAGGTTCTGACTGGGTATCCGATGTGTAGTATGATGACGACTTCTAGGCCACTCTTATGGTGTGGGTTAATATAGGATCGATGTTCACTTTTACGTGTATCCTTCGATTGTTGAAGATGAGTGCAATGCATTGGCACCGGTGCCGCATGTTGTAAACTGTCAAGTCTTTGCAGGTGCATGGGAGTGGCAGGTTGTTGAAAGCTGCCAGCTGAGCCGCAAATTACTCCCTCAAACATCGAAAAGCAACCACGCCATGTACGTTTAAAGTTTTCATTGTCTTGCTCGCCGTATTGGTTGTCATTGCTCCCTGAAAAGGCCACAACAGAAGAGCTTCTAAGCAACGAATCAAGGTAGAAAGTGAGATTGCTTGAAAACAAATTAAAAAGTGAAAGAAAGAATGGAAGATCGTACGAGAAGATTCGAGATCAATTCAGAATTTCACTCTGTTCGGTCCGATGAGCCCTAATTATTTTAAAACTGATTTTTAATTCATAGGCAAAGAAAATCCAATTGTCTAAATAGGCGAGTATTATTGTTGTCGTCGCCAAAAATGATACACTCCCCCACATTCAGTTTTTGTATCCTAAATCCAAAAAAAATCGACAACTACCTCACGGCCTTGTGAGAAACAAATTTGAATAGAATTCATGACCACCTAATCCACGCGCAACGGATAAAGAGGGTCGTTGAATTCATTCAGAACACAAAAAAGTAAGTCTCTTCTATCAGGCGCACACGTTGTCGCAGAATTCCCTTCTTCTCACCTGTCGATCTTAATTTTATGGATACAGCAAGCCTGAGATCGTCGATATTGCTGTGACATCTATAGAGGTCTTGAACGACGTTCGTTACACATGAATCATTTCTCTATACCTTGGCTCCAACATTTCAGGCTCAAATACTGATCATCGCTTTCTTGTCATAGGAAAATGCCGTCTCCTTCTTTGACGGAAGGTCTGGCGCTTATCGAAAGTACTTCGATCTCAATGCAACAATTGATGCACCACGTTCCGTTGAAGAGACTTGTGAAGATGCGAAGAAGTGGTTCGACTTTTTTGCACAGGTTTCGAACAATTTTGTAAGTTTTAAGTCTCCTTCACACAGAACAATCTACTGCGCATTTGGATACTGATTATGAATTGCTCCAGGCACTCGCGAATTTTGAAGATATTCCCGAAAATCAAACTTCACGCGCCGCATTCGATGCTGCTCTTCGTAAAGCTGAAGAAGAATACGAGGGTGTGAAATCTGAGTAGGATAAGGTCACGCACTGCAACCACTATATCCAAGAAGCCATCGCCGCCTTCGAGGTCCCAAAGCCCTTGCTCAAAAAAACCTTTGAAGACGTGGCAGTTGAGCAGGTAAGATTAATCTTTCTTTTCAATTTACGCGAATGGATTATTGTGTATTAACGGTGATTAGGATGCTGTTTGTGAGATCAATCAAGTTTTACCATCTCAAGACGTCGATGTCTCAAACGACGATGTTGAATTGTGCACAGCTTCTCCTCCATCATCTCCACAACGTCGCGCCTATGGCTTGGAACATTCCTCACCTTTTGAGGTCGAGCAGAGAAATGTGCGAGAATCTTGATGAGCCTGCTCGTATTGGTGACAAGCTCTGTGTGCAAGAAATTCAGGTGGCGCAATTTCTCATGCTGCAGCCACCAGTAGTCCCATTGATGTATTGGTAAATGGCATTCAAGATCAAGAAACCAAAGAGCTTCTAACTCATCTTGAGCGCATCCCAAGAGCTTCAAGATGAGGTTGGCAATTTGATCTTAGACCCGGTCTATTACTACCAGCGATGTTGTCATAAGAACTTGCCTAGAAAGTATTTTTTGGCAACCCAGTCTATTACTGCCAGCGATATTGTCGTAAGAATTTGCCTAGGCAAGTTTCTTTTGGCACATCAGTCTACGAACCTGGCAAGATCATCAAGGTTTTCTTCACCACTGATGAAACATTGAAGATGGGGAGCTTGAGCGACGTAGAGGCAGGCATGGACTCACAGGCGGCTTGCATTCCAAGTGACAGATCCACCTACCATCACTACATCATCTATAGGTCTGTCAGCTTTCAATCCCTCTGGTTGATGGAACACTTCGAGCGATTCCGACACACTGTCACCATCCAATTATACGGATGCAGATACGCATGCTGGCGTACAACTGTTACGATTACCTTGCCAGCCTTCCGTGAATTTCATCATATGCTCCATATCAGACTTCTGCAATACGTCGACATCACTCCTTCTACTATTGGTGCCGTCCATGGCACGGATTTCACCATCCTCTACGTCTACTTGTATGAAATGGTCAACGCCGGCATGATCACTGTCAACAGCATCCTCAAGCAAATGGAAGATAAGGCTTACATGTTTGACCAGTTCAACGACATGCACCAAGACCTCCAGGGATATCTCATGCACCGCTACAAGCTTCCTTTTGATTTTCTCAGAATGGCTGAAGGTTTCGACATCACAGATCACAAGACCAAGGTGCCGCACTGAGATTAAATGGATTTGACCTTGATACTCCTGCTGGACAGTGGCAGCAAATGTTCGAAAATCTATATCGACACCTTCAATTCAAGACAGTCGATGAGCGTTGGTATAAGATTGGTAGTCTCGTCAGTTGCGAGAAATGCGGACGCGCCTTACCAGGCAAGGCACTGGTTAAGAAAGACACCAACAAGAAATTCAAGTCCAGTCGAATCTCTGAGCTCTGTTTTGATTCGATAAGAGTGTCTTGAAGAATGGCGAAAACCATGAAGACCCTCATCCTATCTGCCGCATGTGTCAACTCGTTCCGACATGTAACGGTCTACTTCGTACAGCCGTTAATGCTTACGTTCCTACAACTCCTGAAGACGCTGAAGACAAGAGAAAGCCTGAATTCGAGGACGGCGCTCCGCATAAACCAGTCGCTCTTGAGGAAGTTGATCTATCCACATGGGTTATTCCAGAGTCTACTGGCCAATCTCACTGGTCAGACGCTTCTATGCAGGTTGAGCAACATTTGGTAAGTTTCATGCCCGTTAGTAAGATCAATGTAGATCTGACAATACTCTAGAAATATGAAGTGAACCTCTTCTCGCCTATACACGTTATGCGTCAATCTCCCGAGCGAGAAGCACTTCCACCAGTTCCACCAAAGATTCTCAAGAGCAAGAGCTTTTTCAAGGAGATCAAATAGCTCGATCTCATGACCAGCGAACAATTCACTGAGATCAAGGCCAGCTTTCTCGTTGAATACAAGGCGTTAGAAAATGATTGCAGTGAGGTATGTCCTTCGGTCCTCGTGGGTGAGATCTGTTACCATGAGCAATGTGAGTTCAAATACATCAAGTCATGCACTTCATTCCTGGACTGCACAGTCTTGGATTGTCCTGGTACACACTTGCCAGGCCTTTGCCAGTGCGATTCAGACAAGGCTTCTCCCGAACATCTCAGCGAAGTCCGTCATCTAATGAATCGTGAGTCACTCAATGAAGCCTATGTCATTGCGTGGAAACTTATCTTGCTAGAACACTGTGGTGTTTGAGAAGACTATGGATGGACAATAGTTCGCGATGGGAAGAAAGTTGAAAGGGAATGTGGTGATGGTTTCATACTTGTGTCGTCGTGTCATCTTTGGTGGGGAAGATACACATGAACTTCATTCTAGACCGTTTATATCGTAGTTAAGAGATAATCAAAGAGATATTTGAATGCTCACAAGATACTTTGACGACTTAAAATCCAGACCTTCTCCGCAACAGTGAACCTTCTGTATGTACTGTCGAAGTTTTGATGGAGACAGTGGTTCCTTACATGTACGTATTTCAATGCGCAGTATTCCAGATTCAAATTCTTTGTCAACCAGACAAAGTACACGGAACTGCAATCGACACATGTAGATTTTTGCATATTCCGCAACCATGCGCCCAGTTTCAACCATAAGTTTGAATTTTGAGTGGCTTGAGTTTGCCGTCTTCTCTCACAATGGCACTTTCTGGACTATGATTCCGGGACGACTTCAACAACAAATTTCAAAGCATTGCATCAAATGATAACGATTGGCGTACAAGGCTGAACACTTTTCGCAGCCCAGCTTCTGACATCCATATAGCCCTTTATCTCATTCACCCGAGTTAAAATGCACCTCACGCATAAACACCACCAATTAGACGACGCAAGGTGTTGCGCGTGAAAAAGTTTTGTTGCATATCGCATCGGATGAACTTATTGCGGTTTTGTCACATTGTGCTTCTAACTTATCCCGATTGAGATATTGGCGCATTCATGAGGTTACATTTTTAAGCCCCAGATATTCCTCTCGGGGGGAGATTTTCACGACTCTTCAGGGAAGGGGATAGGAGCTGACAAATGTGAAACTTATATATGCAAAAGCTAGTGAGTATGGTATGGAAAGCGTAAGGGTGTCGGCGTTTGTTGCATATCGTAGGTGTATCCACTTGGTCCTGAAGAAGGAATGTGTGTATGACGGGAGATGGGTTGCCGGAAGAGGATTGGATGAGTGGCTAGTAGTTGGGGATACAAATGGATCGAGGTGGTGTGGATGATGATTGATAGTGGTGTTTGAGGTTTGCGGCACGGGTTCCTTTCTACACAACTGTACAACAATAAGTCTTGATGTCATGGAGATTATTGGTCGGCCGACGTTGTACAGAATCAGATGATGAAAGAATACAGCCAATCATGAATTCAAGCACATGATCTTTCTCCAAGAAAAGACAAGTAATTGTTGCATGTCTCTGGTCCAAAAGTCTCCATAAAAGTCCATTTATCACGTGCTATGTATGATAATCCATCACTTGATCAGAATCGCATGTAGAGAATAGGAACAGCGAGAACATGTAGTTTTTTGAAGGAGCATTCGATTCTTCTCATCACCTTTTTGAGCTCTTTTTCCATCGATTAAACTTACCTCGTCTCTTATCCATCAGCTCTTCAATTCTCCATACAAATAGACTAAATATCAAACCTCAATTCCTATTCCCCATGCGAGGGATCCTCCCAGAAATAGGGGTCCATGATCCCCACATTCACATCCGCTGCTATCTACATACTTGTATCGTAGTAGATAGTAATAAGATCTTACATATACATGACCTCGGGAGCTCGAGATGGGGTATGATCGTCTACGCTCCAGTTTCTACAATGTAGGAGTAAAAGATCCGTTTCATTGTACTTTTCAAAAAAGGAATGAAACGTCCGGAATTTATCATACGATAATCGCACATTCAAATCTCTGTAACGTGGAGAAAAGACGATCCAGACTTTATTAGGTCGTAGGCGTGTTCATGGTATTTATTGATTTGCTCTTAAACCATTTTGATGTCAAACTATTGAGGAGACGAGTCTCCGGCTGCTTTTCAGATGTGCAACAAATCTTCGCATGGTGATATTTATCGACAGTATTTGTAATTGGTTGGATAAGGGATGAAACTTAAGGTAAAAAGAGTCTGGTCGTGAAGCATGAATGATAGAAAGGCAGTGCTTAGTTAGAAGCAGATCTATGGTCTAGATCGTGGTGGCAATAATAGTAAAGGTCAAATCGCAAATGTTCCTTTCTGGACCTATTCAATCGACCATCATTGGCTAGCGTGCTGCTTTTCAGACGATTCTATACATCGAAGTATATTTATATCTTCATCCTTCGCTCGTTGCTCGTTGCTCGTCGTTGTTCTCATCTGTCTCTTCATACGATTGATTACACCTCTATTTCCATCCAGTGATGATGAGAACGGAAAACACCATCTTCACGTTACCAGATCACTGATTACTCATCATCGGTCTCATCGGTGTTCACCCCACCGAGCTTCTTACAAAGCTTCCATCATCTAGCTGCAATCGTCATTTCTCTTCAAACAAATGCCATAGCTAAAAGTTTAATCATCAGCTTTCCTGTCCATTGATTGAACGAAGCAGCGTATTCTTGCATATAGTATTATCAATCAAACACATTGTCTCATCTCGCTGTCCCATCTCGCAATTTCCATATAAACCTTCCTAACGTGCTCTGTTCCCTTTGTTTTGTACCCCTCATCTACATCACCCATTCTCAATCAACGTCTTCTGATCGTTTACTACAAGTTTTGTCCATTCTAAGCTACCATACAACTAATAATACAAACATGCCTCCATCCAGCAATTTCTTTAGCATCATCGCCGGTGTTGGTGCAGGTACTGGTAAGTTATCCAATATCACAACTACTACTGGAGAATAGCGATTCTAATATACGCCGTCCCTTAGGTCACTCTGTCGCCCTCAAGTTTGCTTCCACCTACCCCGTCGTGCTCCTAGCCCGTAATCCCGCCAATTATGAACCTACCATAAAAGCTATCACCTCATCCGGTGGACAAGCAATCGGAATCAGCACTGATGTTTCTGATCCCTCTTCCGTGACCAACGCATTTGAGGAAATCAAGAAGCAATACGGTTCCAAGAAATTGGCAGCTGCGGTCTACAATGTAGGGGGCAAGTTTGTGAGGAAGCCATTTTTGGAGTTGAGTTTGGAGGATTATGAGGCGGGTTATGAGAGTAATGGGTGAGTAATGATTCTTCTCACTATTTGAGTAGACAGATGGTGGGAAAATGAGTTTAGAACAAAAGCTAAAGAATGCATAGAAAGGGATTCTACCTATTTGCACAAAAAGCCTTACCACTCCTTCTGGATTCCGTGGCTGATTCTCCACATCCGCCCTCCCTGATCGTTACAGGAGCTACAGCATCCATAAGAGGCGGTGCTCTAATGTCATCATTCGCGAGTGGTAAATTTGCTTTGAGAGCAACCACTCAGAGTTTAGCTAGAGAGTTTGGTCCTAAAGGAGTACATGTTGCGCATGCGATCATTGACGGTGTGATTGATATTCCTAGAACTAAGGAATGGCAAGCGAATGGAGGGGTTGAGGATGGAAAGATCAAGGCTGATGCTGTGAGTACATGTTATGTGAATTCGCTGTCAATGGCTAACATGATGTATAGATTGCGGATGCATATTGGTATTTGCACACACAACACAGATCACATTTCACTCAGGAATTGGATGTCAGACCATATGTTGAGAAGTTTTAATTTGAACCAAGTATATTCCTGGTAGTTTGTTAAGTTGCACCGGACAATTCTAGTGTAGAGATCGTCAATTACCGTCGATGAGACGAGTAGATAGCATAATTATAAAACAACAATGATGTCCCTTGCCATCAAACTCTCGTTCTTCAGAGATTTTAGTGAAATCTAGAGGAAAGTCTGCAGGCAAGAAAGTTAACTTCAAAGGGAAAACTTTGGATTTCCTCTCCGCTCGTCGTTTATCTCGAAAACAATAGTAGAAAATGTCAACAAGGTGATATATGAGCGTAAATGGTCACGAGAACAAGCATGCATGTCACAACAATCCTAGAGCAAGTTAGTAGAGGGCCAGTCCTCCCAAAACAGGTATAGCAATCAACAACACAACAACGTGTTGTCACAAGCATCGTAGACACTTGTTGCTTCGGGAGGACTCCCATGGAGCATTTCACAGTGATACCAGACGTGCAAGCACGAAGGATGTGAAATGGCCATAATTTTTCATTTGACTATGCCTAGCACATCCAGCTGGCAGAAGCCAGGGATTAATGCATGTAACGCTCATCGAAAGCACGCCAATCCCAACCCAATTTTATATGCCAAATTTATGCCTTGCTCTTCAACTTCTCCTTGATCTCACGACCAGCCTTGATACGCTCAAGGATGTTCTCACGGTCCTTGTCCAACTTCAACTTGGTGATGATGACCTTGGATGGGTGGATACCGAGGGGAACGGATTGTCCAGAGGACTTCTCCTTGACGACACGCTCGATGTGGACGATGTATTTGAGACGGTAGACGGAGGTGATCTTTCCCTCAGATCCCTTGTTGGAACCACGAACGATGGTAACCTCATCATCCTTTCTGATTGGGATGGAGCGGACCTGAAGAAATTCTGTTAAACATTGAAAGTCGAGAATACCGTAGAGAATTTATACGCACGTTGTACTTCTCACGGAGTTCCTTGCTCAAAGGAGCGCTCATGATGGTACGTCTGACGCTGGATGGGGCATCGAAATGAGCCTTGCGGGACTTTCTCCTGGAGGAGTGGAGGGCTGAAAAAGATCATTGTTAGCTTTGCGATCTCATGGGATTACAGGCAAAATCGAATTGAGAATTGCACAGAATTGCGGTAACAATCGATTGATGGTACATACAGCTGTTGATCTTCGTCATCTTGTCGGATTGGTGAGGAACCTGGGTTTGTCGTCGTCGTTGGTTGTTTTCAGAAAATTTCGCACCGAGATTTCTGGAATGGAGAATTGTGTGCGAAAAAACGCTAGTGTAAGCGAAATTTTTAGCTGCATATCACGTGCATAATATCGAACAAAATGTGGGACCGTCAATTGCAATGATCCCCAATCGAAGGACCATTGAAAAGAAACCATTATTCACAGTGTACGTTTTAGTTATTTTACTCGATGAATGTGCACAAAGATGTTGACAGTCCAAGTTCTGCACTACATTCTTTCTTATTGCATTTGGAGATACGAACTTACGATGTGGAAAAAGGGGGTCACTTGAAGAAGAACCTCTCCATCCAAACTGCGGACTCTTCCAACATATCATACATCACTTAAAAAAAGAATAAAGCGCACAATTTGTATCTATCGCGAGGTCAAGAAGAGAGTCTACTCATTCCATCACAATTTCCATTTAAATTCCTTGCGAATACTTATCCCTCCAGGTTTGAAGTGAACGACGGTCGTATCATCTCTAAGCCTTCATTGTTCAAATATTCATAAAGTTATGGATCTCAATCACACAATCAAAATCAAATGATCTCCTTGACAGAAAATTCATACAGATAGACACTTAGTTTGATCCATCATGACAATATTCACACAGACAAGCAGGTCATGACTGTGATTCCTTGTGTTCCTATCCCACCACCATCATTTTTAATGGCTTCTTCTTTTCCCCATCCTTGCTCTCTCTGTCTTCAAATTCCACAATATCACTTCCAGATCCACAGTCAATCACATACCTATATACTCCCTCAAATCCAGATTCCAAACCTACCACTCCTCCAATCCATCTCATTCCCTCATTTCCCAAACCTCCAAGCCCTCACATCTCAAAATGTGCACAACCACCCACTGGTACTGGAAAGCCTGCAATCACACAATCGCAACCGAATTTCTCATTCTCTGCAAAGAAGTCTCCAAAGATTGCGCTGGCGAGAACTCCGACAGAATCGAGAAGAAAGGAAGATGTCCCAACTGCAGAAAAGAATCCGCCACACAAGTCATGACCATGGACAAGCCGGACCTCTCCCCAGAAGGAGGTTGGGAAACTATAACTGAAGCTACCATGAAGGGAATTCGGCAGATCAAACTTTAACGTGAGACGTTGAGAATTTCGACATAGTCCGTCGGGGGTTGATATTGTGGAGTTGTTTCTTACGGGGTCGTTTATATTCGAAGGCTTTTGACTGATTGTGTCAAGAGCACATATCTGTATTGGTGAATAGAGTGAGTGTCTAAGCGCTATAACAATACGCATGTATGTTGCCGTTCACTTATCAATACACTATCTTTGTACTCGCAAGTGTATCTCATCTTTTTGCATGTTACAAATATCACAATATATCAAGACCGTTCAAGTGAAAGAAACACTACATCATTCTAAACATAGGAAGATCAGACACAAAAATTCATGTATTCAAAGAAATCCATAGATAAACATTTCAGACCATTCGCCTGCCCACCCATCTTTCCTCCAAAATCCCTTACATCTAAAACGAATACATTTAGTTGACCAACCGACAACCACAACTGCTGATATAGAAAGAAATAGGAGAAGGAAAACTGATCAAAACTATATATGAAACTAGTGCTCGCACCCAACACTCTAAGCCCCCTGTTACAAACCAAACCACCAAACAAAATCCATCCCATTTATCCTTTACAACCTCTTAGGATACCTCCCCGTAGCTGCAATGTTTCTTGGCCTCAGTACTGTTACCAGTGTAGAGGCACTAGCAGATGCAGATGCCAATGAACAAGATGAAGTAACATTACCATCACCACAAGTGGTGGTGCAATTCGCACCTGACAAGATACCGCCTGACTCTATGTTATCGCCACATACACACTTAACCCCACTCTCAACTGCGTAGTATTCGTATTCAGAACAAATGATTGAGCAGATAGCTGGTGTCATATCCGATGAGTATGTTGTTGGACCATCTAGGGTGCCTGTTGAGTTTGAAGAACAGCCAATGTAATCGAATGATGACGTTGCACTAGCAGATGCACCAGAGAGTGTAGTTGATGGCGAGGGGTTTGTACTAAATATCGTTATGCTAGGAAAATCAGAGCTTGATGCTGACTCGGTACTAGAGCTAGTTCCTGATTCCAAGGTGGAGAGCGATGGATTTATACTTGTACCAAGAGGTAAACTGCTTGAATCTGTTAAACCTTGTGTACTGGAGGCCGCAGATAGTTGCTCAGTGCTGAAAATCTGAGATTCGGAAGTTGGCAATGTGGTCTCAAAGGCGGTACTGGTGCTAGTGCTTCCAGATACTACATTGTTGATGGGAGGTATCCCGGTTCCAGATTCACTGGCAGATGAGAGCGATTCGATAGTAGAGGAAGATCCCGATGATGATGTACTTGAAGGGAAAGTGCTCGAAGATGTGAACTCTTCAAAGCTTGTCTGAGAAGCACTTGGAACGAATGTACCTAGAAGCCCTCCTGTCGAGGATGCTTCCGGAATTACAGATTCATTGGGTATTGAGGACGAAGCTGCGCTCTGCAAATTGGATTCTGAAGCCGATATCGTGATTGATTCTAAGCCTGAATTTACTAAACCAGCTGAAGATCCCGAATTCATCTGGGAGGCCGATGCCGAAGCAGAAAGACTTGGAGCGATCGATACTAGGATATCAGTAGCAGATGAAGCCGTAATTGATTCAGGTTCAGAACCAAAATCAGACGCAGATGTCGAAATAACTTTCAGGATCACGGTGGTCTCAAGGCTTGTGATTGTTGCACTTGCACTTAAGATTTCAGATGTTGCACTTCCAGTCAAATCGGAGGATATGGCTGGCTGAGATGGTTCAATCAATACTGTTGAAGAGAGACCTTGCTGTATTGATGAAGATCTTTCCGCAGTTTGTGAACTGGAAATCTCCGACGAAAATTCACCCAGTTGAGTCGAAGTTGCCACTGATGATATACCTTGTGTTGATGAGGGAGACTCATTTGCAAGTCCACTGCTCGAAAGGGTAGTAGGGGACAAAGGTTGCGTGGTTGAGATAACTTCAGGGGTTTCATTAGAAGGAAGAACTTGCTCAGTGCTAATATTCAAAGCTTCAGAATCGAAAGTTGTTTGTACAGAGCTAGATTGAGACCCTGAGCCAATAGTTGGGCTAATGGAAAGTGATTCTGTCGAGGATATAGCTTGTGATCCTCCAGTATTTGGAAGTGTACTCTCTGAGCTAGAAGTAAGCTCAGGTAGCGATGATGAGGTTTCAACAAATGTCTCCAAAGGCGCTGTATTTCTCAAGGAAGTGGTGGAAGAGAAATTGGGTTCGGAAGTCTGTGATTCAACCGTCAAAATGACCGTGCTTGAAACGATCACAAGACTAGAGCTTACAGAACCAAGATCTGATGTCAAGGAACTTGGCAAAATAGATAGAGATGTTTCCGAAGCTAAGAATTGAAGGGAAGTTCCCGAGCCAATATTTCCAACAATTGGAATGCTGCTACCAAATGTGCTACTGGCTTCAACAGCCGCAGAGCTGGTGGCAGTTCCTCCATTCGTAAGCGATGGGAGTTGAGAAAGACTGCTGGAGAAGGACTCAGATAAGGTGGCACCCGAACTTGTGCTCAGAACAATGTCGGAAGAGCTCTCAAATCCAGCAATCGTAGATGAGAGAGAAATGAGTGTACCTACAGTTGAGAGTTCTTCCACGGTAGAAGAAATTTCAGACTGTGAGGGCACAGATGATGGTGTTATCGAAGCAATGGAAGATACCTGGGGCTGTTGAGATGATAATTCCGAAGAAAGAAGACTGCTGGCGGCTGCTGTAGAGGGCTCAACTACAGGCAGTGAAGATTGAGTAGTCTGAACTGAAGAAATTAAGGAAATTTCGATCGTACTTGAGGGTATTCCTGAAAGTGAGGTACTTGGAGCTGCCGAAAGACTTTCAATTTCGGAAGATAAAGTTATCGTGGGTCCAGGGGTTAGTACTGAACTTGATGGGATTTCGGACTCGATGGAAATGATCGTGGTCTGTGACTGAGACTCAATCACGGAATCTGTGGACTGGATGGATGGAATTGATATGATCCCGGAACTTTCGATGAGACTAAAGCTTCCAACCAAAGTAGATGGGAGTGCTGACAGGCCAGGAATACTTGTGGTAAGCAATTGACTCTCAATGTTAGAACTTTGGGAGGCAATAGAAGTCTCAGTCGGATTCGTAGACTCAATCGTGTTTGCGCCTGTACTGCTCAAAACACCGGCAGTCTCAATCAAAGATTCAGATACTCCACCGATGCTTCCCGAGGTCTCAGCACTCAATGTAAATTGAAGCTCAGTGGTTGAGACACCACTCGTAAAGGTAGGCTCGGAAGGCACACTTGTTATAATATTTGAGCCACTCAAACTAGGAGAGATCTCAGTTGGTAAAATTGAAAATCCACTCGTCAGTGTACCGATTTCCGTAATTACTGATAACAATATAGTACTAATGGGTGTTTCCGAGGCTCCAAATGAAGTTCCCGATTCTAAATTTCCAACTATTGGAACCGTTGTTCCAGTGGATTCAATTCCACTCGTTGACACAGGAGCTGAATTTGTTTCAAAGGTTGAAGTGCCGACACTTAGAGATGCTTGAATTAGGAGAGATGAAGTCGTAGCTGCTGAAGTAACGAGTTGGGATTCCGTTTCAATGCCGGAAATTGATGTGGTAGCAAGGCTAGATTCAAATCCTGGGCCATTGGAAGTTTGACTTGCCTCGGTAGGCAATGAAGTGACTTCAATTGTTGATATGCCAGTACTTGGTACGAATGAAGAATCAAGGGCCGGGAATCCAGCCCCAAGACTTGTTTCTATACCTGTATTTGATGTGATAATGGCACCGGATTCGCTCGTAGAAAGACTCAAAATTGAGGACAATTCAGTTGGAAGAGATGAAGTAACAGCTGGCAAGGACTCTGAGCCCGATGAAGTCTCGATATCAACCAAGTCGGTTGAAGACTGAGCTATTGTACCAGTCGTTGATGGGAATTCTGAAGTTCCGTCTATTATACTTGTCGCTTCAGGTAATATTGATGAACTTATAGGTCCAGAACTACCGGGGGATATGACTTCAATGCTGGAACCAGAAGATAGCGTCGAAGTGGGTGCAGTAGACGGAGTGACAACTTCCTCACTGAAAGGGCCTGAAGATGTTTCAATACCAATATTCGAAGCTGATATAGTGAATTGAGCTGGTACAGTGCTAGTAGCTATTGAAGGAGTGATAACCTCATCACTAAATGGAGTAGAAGAAGTTTGAAATCCAGTATTTGATGGCAATACAGACGATCCAATCAATGTAGTGCTAATAGAAATCGTGGGGGTTATGACTTCATCACTGAATGGCGTGGAAGTTTCGGTTCCTCCGATTGGTATCGATATGGAAGCTTCTAACGTGGTACTGATGGCAATAGATGGAGTAATGACCTCATCACTGAAGGTAGGATAAGAGGTTGAGATTCCAGTAGTCAAGGCTGGTAGAGATGATTGAATCGGCGTGGTAAAACCAGCAGAAGTCTCAGCAGGATTGACAACAGTTGATTCAATACTACTTGGCACCAATGATTCTATTGACGATTCAGATGGTATTGAGGTCAAGGTGCTACTCGATGCACCGAAAACGGTAGAAGAGCCTGCTCCATTGCTTAATATTTCAGTCATCAAATCTATCGAAATTGCAGAAGATTCCAAGGCACTAGTTGACTGGGATTCGAAGGTGCTTGAGGTCCCACTACCAGATGCCGCATTATTTACAGGCGGAATGCCAGTACTGGACCCAGTGACTGTCGATGAAGGTTGGAATGAAGATACTGAATCGGATTCTGAGTTCTCAGTCGAAGTTGATGGAATCGTCGACAAGGTAGAACCACTTTCAATCGCCGAAGAAGTTGGGAATGAAGTTGCTGAAACGGAAATAGAAGATACAGGAGAGCCGTTCGAGTTGGTTGTACAAGTATCAGGAGGACAATATCCATGACTACAAGCAAAGTCACAAAGTGAATCGTATGTCTCGGCATCAAAATCCCTAAGAGCATATCCACGAGTGTTGATCTCGGGTGGCGGTTCAACTGCTGAGGCCGCAAATGCAGTACATGTACATGGATCTGTACATACTCCAAAGTTGCAAGTAAATTCACATAGGTCAGAGTTATCCCCGGTGCTAGATCCCGTACCTTCCACGCAGAAAGCCGATGGAGTTGAGGAAGCGGAACTTTGCGTTGATGATGCACCAGATTCCAAGAATGATGATGCTGCCGTTGATAAAACGCTCGATGTTGCAGTAATCGATAAAGCTTCACTGGTACTTGCAGATAGCGTTAAAGTTTCCAACGGAATTGAAGTAGATAATAGGCCTGTTGAAGTAGCCGCCAAACCGCTTGATAAGGAAGCCTCTGTAGTTACCAGAGAAGTGCTTTCACCGACAGTTGTGCCCGATGAGCCAATGCTACCTCCTTCAGAAAGTATCAAGATTGAAGTAAAATCCGAATCGGTCAGGGTCGAAGAAGCTATAAAAGACTCACTCAATCCAGAGCTCACACTGAGAGCCCCATCGGATGTGGATACAAGGGGCTCAGTCGTACTACTGAAGCCAATTGACGCAATAGGAGTCGATGATATGCCACTTGTTTCCGAATTTCCAATGCTCATGGGGGGAAGAGATGAGCTCTCGGATGACGTGATCTGACTGGAGGTTTGGATGAAACTAGAAGCAGAGACCAAGTCTGAAGGTTGCAGTGTTTCACTTTCGACGAGCGAAAGTATCGTTGATTGAGTAACACTGATAGTCTCAATTTCGGAAACGGCAGAAGGTGATGATGAGATATCCAAAGAATTAGTTGTCGAAAGGGATGGAATTGGTGACTGGAAATCATTGCTGCTAGTTTCTTGAGACGTAAAAGACGATACCAAATTACTTTCTGCAGATGTTGTAATCTTACTTGATATGCTGCTCGTGGTCTCCGAGAAAAGACTGGTTATTGCTGCTGAAGAACCACTTGGGGTCAATACATTTGTGAAAGATGAAGCCGGTTCTGACTGTAAAGGAGCAGAATCTGTGATAATCTCAATGGTCGTCGTTGGTATAGATGTAGAAATAGCTGAGGACTCAAGAATACCGGTCGATATTCCAGGCAACCCAGAAGTATTTGACTCTCCCAGTGATTGACCAATCAATGTTTCCAAAGCACTATTCACCAGTGATGAGGTACTAATACCAATTTCGGTTGATGATGACTGTGGGAGAGATATAACAGGGCTAGTTTCCAGTGTACTGCTAAGGCTAGAAGGTTCAAGGGTTATAGCAGTAATCGATGGAGATATCGATTGAGATTCTAAGACGGGCAAAGAAGTACTATCAATCGGTTCAGAAACTATGGTAGATAGAATCGCGCTAGTCAAAGGTGTAAAGCCACTATCAGTCGTTCCAATCCCCGTGGAAGACACAATTAAGAGAGTCGAGGTGGCTTCTGTACTCAATACAGCAGTCTCAGTCAAAGTTTCAAAGCCAGAGCTAGTGGTGGATGTGTAAATACTACCGCTTTGTCCAATACCATTACCAAAAGTTAACTCAGTACCAGTGAAGCTTGCAGAAGCAGAATTGGCCGTCTCAGACAGGAATCCGGAATTACTGGATGAAATCAATGAAGGTTCTATGGTGGAAGATTCCAATCCAATGGTTCCGGTTGTCGTAGAAGGCACTATTGAGATATCTGATGTGGAAGATGCAGGTGCACTGGCGGCTCCCGAAGAGAAAGATGACTCCAAAGTAGATAGCTCAGAGGTACTACCAGTAATGATCTCAATTGTACTGGAGAAAACACTTTCAGAACTGAATAGACTCGCTTCGCTGGTGATAGCTTGTAAGCTACTAGACAAAGTCAAGGATGGCTCTTCACTTAGCAATCCTGAGGTGGTGATAATTTTAATCGCGCTGGACGTCGGAATCAAAGTGAATTCACTGGTGACGACTGGCAAACTACTAGTCACTATCAATGATGGTTCTCCACTCAATAACTCCGATGTGCTAGCAATTTCAGTTGAGCTAGATAATGGATTGAAAATGCTCGTCATCAAGGATAAAGATTCACTCGTTGCCGCTGGTAGGCTGCTTGATTGGGCCAAATTAGATCCGGAGGTAATTTGGGCAGTACCATCAAGACCTGCTTCCGAAACCGACACCTCGAACGTGCCTGTGAATGTGGGTATTAAATTGGAGGTTTCTGATAGCTGTTCTGATTGACTAATATCCGTACTTGTTCTGGTAGTACCTGCTGGGTCACTGACTTCAGTTGAGCTGGGCTCGATGGATGGACCAATTGGATTCGCCGTGGAAATAACAGATCCAAAACTGCTCGTTGATTCGAAAGTAACACTTTCTTGTGTCGAAGTAACGATTTCAATACCTGTAGATATTTCAATGGGCCCTATGGTGTTACTAACCCCTCCTGATAAGCTAGGTTCTATTGAACCTGTCGTAGAAATGACCGGTCCAACATTACTTATAAAGATGAGACTGACACTGTCCGATACACTCTCCGATAGTTGTGATGAAGTACCAACTCCAAGGCCCGTGGAAGTTTGAATAGGACTTATGACATTACTGGTGGCCTCAGATAGACTTGGCTCGATTGAATCTATCGTAGAGACAACAGATTCAATACTGCTTGTGAATCCAAGACTGGTACTCTCAGATGCACTCTCCGAGATCTGTGTTGAAATAACAAATCCAAACCCCGTGGATGTCGAAATTGCAATTAGAGTACTGCTAAATCCTTCTGCCAAGCTGGATTCGATTGTACCAGTCGTAGAAATAACAGAACCAAGATCAGTTGTGAGATTACCTGTAGATTGAATGTCCAAAGTCGTCGTCGTGGTACTTCCAGATGCTACATTGTTGACTGGTGGAATACCAGTACTACTTTCATTAGGCAATGAACTTTGTTCGATAGCATTAGATGTGCCAACCAGTGTTTCTGTAATCACAGTGGATCCAATATTGCTGGAAACCTCGAATGACTGACTGGGCGATCCTATAACACTACTGGTAGCCCCGAGAGTCGGTTCAATACTTGATTCGATAAGTATAGTGGTGCTAATGAAAGTCTCTATAGATGTAATCGATCCAATATTACTTGAGGCCTCGAATGATTGACTTGGTGTTCCTACGAAGGTGCTCGTTATTCCAAAAGATGTCTCTATACTTGGAGATACGGACTCGGACGAACTAATAACAAGTGTGGTGGACAAGACACCGCTAGATTCATCAAGTGTGCTCAACTGTACATTGCTCGAAGGAATGATGGATGATGCCGAGGAGGAGGAAACAGCTGTGCTACCTACGGCGCCAGATGATTGAACTGATGTCTCTATAAACGATTGGAAACCACTTTCAAAAGACGCAATGATACTCGTGGAGAAGATCTGAGTTATGATCGACGAATCAAGTGTTTCAGTCGAAGATAATTGTAGGCTCACTGTACTTGATTCCAAATTGGAGAGTATTCCTGTTGAGGACTCGAATCCAAAAGTTGACGGATTTCCTGTATTCGAAAGTAGACTTTCTGTTGAGGTTGGTAAAACATAGGTAGTCAATGGAATAGAAGTCTCTAACACTGAAGTTAAGATAGATGATTGGCCTTCAAGACTTGATGTCATCTCTTGTGCTTCAGAAGTACTCTCTGAACTCGTCAGGGAAGATACAGTCTGGTAACCGGAACTCTCAAGAGAGAAAGTAGAAGAGCCAACGGGGATCTCGATCGAAGATACCTGCAAAAATGATGTTTCGCCAAACTCGGAAGAAGTTGTGGTTTGAGGCAAAGAAGATTGTCCAATGGTGGAAGAATTTTCGGATAAAGATGATGGCCCCAAAGTAGATGTGAACTGTGGTAAAGATGATTTTTGTGACACAGACAAAGATACGAAAGTAGAAGTAATTTCAGGTTGGGATGTTGATTCCAAAGCAAACGAGCTACTTTGTTCAGTCGTTGTCGTCGTACCAGAAGCTACATTGTTAACTGGTGGAATACCAGTGGAAGTTCCATCTCCGAAGCTCGAAGACTCAGCACTCGAAACGGATGGAATAGCAGTGCTTTGAGTTTCTGAAGGTTCAAAACTTAAGAGTAAAGTTGTAGAGAAGCTCGTCATGAATCCAGAAGATTGAGATGCCGAAAATGATGCCAAGCTGGATTCATATGAAGAAAAGCCTGCAGATATTGAGCTTTCAATGATGGATGAAGATTGTACAGTCGATAACGAGAATATATCAGAAGTATATGAAGCACTTTGGGATTCTTGTTCAGAAGAAGTTTGCAGAGTTTGAGATAGTAAAGCGGATTCAGATTGTGAGAATGAATCGGAGGTAAATGATGGATAATATGAACTAATAATAGAGGAAGAATTTGTGGCAAATTTACTAGGTGACTCATATGCTGAAGAACTAATGAAGGAACCAACCGTCGAAGAAGTCAGAGTTCCTCGCGTTGTAAAAACTGACTGGTCTGAAAATGAAGATGATATAAAAGAATACGAACTGGACACCCCGGACGGTGTGTTCGTAAAGTCGGGCGAGCTGGTAGCTAGCGATCCGCTAGAAAATTCAACTGATGAGAAAGAAAGAGTGACTTCAGTCGAAGCAACGGAGGGGCTTTCCAGACTCGCCGAACTTAAACTAAAAAAGACGTTGTAGATGTAATAGCCGTGGTTGTAGCCGAAGGATCAAAAGGCAACATCAACAATGAAACAGTTACACAACCTGCTCCAGGTGACAACATCAAGTAGATTGATCCATGACAAGCTTGGATAATATTAGCGGCATTATATGGTAATGTCAAACCGATGGAACAATCTGGATTGATAGATGCTACAACAGGTTGGTAACCAAGTTGTTGATATTTGGTAGCAGTAGAGAAGAAAATTGCTTCATTTCCAGCATTGTGGGTATCTTGATTAGATGCCAATAATACAGGATTTCCAAAGAAATCTACAATATTGAATTGAAGTTGGCCAGTAGTAGGTGATAATGAGAAGGTCAAACTCTTTGATGCATCTGTGGTGAATGATAAAGCATCATCACCAAATGAGACAGGATCCCACAGATATTGTGCTGGCATTCCCGTCTGATTTACCAAGATTCTGAAAAATGGTGCAACAGGACATCCAGCAATTGAAGTTGAAGATGTGATAGGCGAGAAGGTTGAAGTACCTGTCACCAGACCGGAAGTTCCAGATGGTATAGTTGTTGCGATCAATGGAGTAGAAGAAGCTCCAGTTTCAGATACTTCAGTACCAAACAATCCTGTGCTTGATCCTGTACTTGAAGCAATGCTTGTTGACAATGTCGATGAAGGTCCATTGACTGTAACAGCAAAAGCTCGAACTTGAGTACATGCATCTCCTCTTTGAGCTTGCTTAGCTGGTGTCAGGATAGTGAATACACCACTGCATATAGCTATAATATTGTCTCCAGTGTTCGGAATATCCAAGCCAAGTGAACAATCTGCACCAATACTGGCGGTAAATACTCTCATGCTGTCTGAAATATGGTCCGCAGTGAAAAGTTGAAGAGGTGATCCTAGAGCGGTCAATCGCACAGCACCTGAGATTGGGGCATTATCAGAATGACGTTTTGCTTGGAATGCGTTACCAAATCCAATGTTGAAACGAGCTGCTTGAGAGCGCGATAATACGGGTGGCAATGTATCATAGCCCCAAGTACCTTCAACAGTTCCACTATCTGGATAGTTAAGTTGAGATAACCATTGTTTTGGCTTGCCAGGTTCATCAATAACTACGTTGAACAGATTTGGTATACTTGCACAGACATAATTATATGAAGGAGGTGCAATAGATGTGGATGCTGGGGAAGAGCTTGTAGATGCTACTCCTTGCGCACTTGTGGAGAGAGGAGTAGTCGTCGTGACTTCAATTTCAGTAGTCAACCCCGCTTCCATAGTAGACTCGGCTACTTCAGTTGTTGTGGTTGTTGTCATGGTACCAGATCCTACATTGTTCACGGGTGGAATGCCAGTACCAGTGCTTGTGCCCCCAGGTACATCGGAAGTTGTACTAACTCCTGGTTCTTCAGTGACTACAGCCCCAGAAGTCGTAGTAGCTGGTCCGGTTTCTTCGGGACTGACAGTTGAAGTTGCTCCTGGCTCTTCGGTGTTGATGATCTCAGTTGTGCTGGTAGCTAGCCCAGTTTCTTCAGGGCTGGCACTTGAAGTTGCTGCTGGCTCTTCGGTATTTACAACCTCCGAGGTCGTTGTAACTGCAGGTCCCTCGGTACTCAAAATCTCAGTCTCTTCCGGACTAGAAGTTGTAGTAAGACTAGGCCCCTCGGTATTCACAATTTCTGAGCTCGTACTTACGGCTGGTTCCTCGGTACTAATAACAGCCCCCGACGTTGTAGTTACTCCTGGCTCCTCAGTATTTACAACCTCAGAAGTCGTTGTAGCTATGGTTTCTTCCGGACTTGAAGTTGTGGTTACCCCAGGCTCTGCAGTGTTGATAACCTCGGACGTGGTAGTTACTCCTGGTTGCTCAGTGCTAATGACACCTTCAGTTGTAATAGCTGTCGGTTCCTCGGTATTAACAACTCCCGAAGTTGTACTAACGCCTGTTTCTTCGGCTTCGGAGGTGGTAGTTGCTCCTGGCTCGGTGAATACCTCAGTGGTAGATTCAATACCATCAGTAGTGGCTATAGTGGTCATAGTGCCAGACCCAACATTATTGACAGGTGGAATACCTGTGCCAGTGCTACTCGCTGCCTCTGTTGAACTAGCTCCAGATTTTTCAGTATTGACGACATCAGTAGTAGTTGGAGCTCCTGGTTCGCCAGTGCTGACGATGGGTTCCGAGGTGCTCGTCACTCCTGGCTCTTCAGTATTGACAGCTTCAGTAGTGCTGGTGGCTCCTGGTCCTTCTGTGTTCATTTCTGAAGTACTTGTAGCTCCAGGCTCTTCGGTAACAATAACGTCACTTGTTGAAGGTCCTGAAGTTTCTGTTGGAATAACTCCCGTAGATGTAGCCCCTGGCTCCTCAGTGACAATAATTTCAGTCGCAGAGGTGGCTCCAAGAGTCTCGGTAGGAACTATTTCTGTAGAAGTAACGCCAGGTTCCTCAGTGGCAATGATTTCACTCGTTGAGCTGGGTCCTGTTGTCTCAGTCGGAACAACATCTGTAGAAACGACTGATGTTGGAGGAACGTATCCAGCCAACTCGTAGATAATAATCGAGGTTCCAGGTGCACGACGTCTGAGTCTTCTAGTGGGAGGAGGACTTCCTCCACATATTTGTGTCGAATCACCTGGGCATGGATATGAACAATCGGTGGCTGGTTCAGCTTCAAGCAATCCATTTGAACAGTAACAGTGTCCTGGCCCGATTCCTGCATATCTAAATGGGTTGCCTCCATTAGCTGTAGAGCAGAATTCAAGGCAGTGATCGACTGTGTCATAAGTACTTGGATCGGTACTATCCGTGATAGGTGGAGCCAATGGAAAGCCAGTACCCTCTTCATCTGAATAACAGTCCACTGCATTATAAGTACCAGCCGGTGTATCGGCAGATGAAACGCGAGTTGGCTCCGAAGGCGGCAGAGTTGTAACCCCTGGTTCTTCGGTACTGACCACTTCTGTTACTGCAGGTTCAGTAGTTGTAATGGGTGGCTCGGAAGTGACTTGTGGAACTGAAGTTGATGACACTTCACTAGTAAATGAAGATCCAGAATTGGCATTGTTAACTGGTGGAATAGTGAAACCAGAAGATGAAGTAAATTCAGAAGATACAGTTGAACTGCTAATAATATCCGATGAAAAGACCGCAGAAGAAGACTGTGTGGTGCTACCACATTCTGATGCTATTGATCATTAGAATAGGTTCATGATTTGACCAATATTCAAGGTACTCACCAAATACAGTTTGAGCCGGCTCGATCACAGTTGTCGTTCCATCGAAGATAGTCGTAGTTCTACGCTTAACTTCTGTGGCAGTGACATATTCGGTATGAATCGAGGGGGGTGCAGTATAGGTAAGAATCGAAAAAGAAACATCAGTATAAGTCGTATATTGTGGAACGACTGAAATTCTATAACGAGTGACAGTTGAATAAACAGTAGCTGGTACCGCGTGAGCGAAAGGAATGAGTGCAATACCACAAGCTGCAACCTGCAGCAGGCACTTTGGAAGTGAAGTTGGACGCATGGTCCTGACGTAGTGCCTGGGTGAACTCGAGTAGATGATATTTGAGGCTTCGAAATGTCTGAAAATAACAACTACTTGACTTCTGTATAAATACCGACGTGAAAGTGTGTAAAAAGATACTTTTCAAGGAATTGAAGGATATATAGAATGTAAGCTTTGTTTTTGAATATGGTACTGGGAAGAATGCAGATGGCGTCTTTCCCGCGTCAAGGAGACGATAAAGTCAGAGACATAGGATACAAATTGATGTCAAGAATACTCAAGGAATGAGTCAAGTTTGGCAAGATGCCCATATTGGAATGTGATATCGAACGACAGTCCTTGAATTATGGGGTAGTTTGACTTCAAACATGTAGACCACACCACCTAAAAGTCACTCGACTTCATTGTATATCTTAATCGAACAGATTAATGTATCGTTTGATATTGAATACAGGAATATTTCGTACAGCCCTGACGATATTAGTATATCATTACAAGAGAGTCCATATCAAAAGACCGTCGTTGCATTATTCTGTTAATTCACGTGATTTCATACCTTGTTTACTTGCCAAGAAACGTTTGAAATGGATGTACATTCTTCACCTCTTCGAGGCTATGGCGCCAATAGGAAAGGTATGTCAGTCCTCCCTAAAATATGTTTCGAATCTAGAAGTATTAAAGTTGTTGTAGAGCATCCGGAGAATGGCAAAAGAATGCCACATGAAGGATGGGACAGTCTGGACCAAGTCCTCGAGAAGAAGAATACCATTTGATAGGCATGAGAAGGAAATGTCTATTGAAAATAGTGGCAGTTTGTCGATCTGCTTGAAGGCGAACAAGTGTGTGAAGAGGATGAGAAGGAGAGGAAAGGAAAGAAAAAAGTTGGAGTAAACAAAACAAGTGGCATAACAAAATAAAACAAGAAAGTGCTACCTTTACCTCACAAGATTAGAAGGCACCACCACCATTCCATCAACAACCAAAACCGCGCCTTCCAAAGTCTACCACGTCACAATCAAAAAGGAAAAGAAACCACCCACCAAACCAAGCTTTGAAAACCACGCGTACACTCCAAACAGAATAGCAAAGTACCCCAAAACCGAGATCCTCAAATTTCCCCTACGCCTCTGACGTCAACCTTCTAACCTCCCCTGGATCATATCCCATCATTCCGCGTTCCGCAACATGGCTTTGGCTTTCCGGTATACCTATCTATGATCCTAGCCGTAGTTGAGAAGTAAGGGAATCCCCAAACCACATGCCAAAACACCTCGCTAATTTTTATTTGACAGAAACAGATCCACTCTTCACGTGTTTGTGGTGCCGACCTTCGTGTTCCCAAAGAATGAACAAAAAGTGAGCCTCTTTACTGTAGTAAGTTCTTTTTCTCCGATTTTCCGCTCTCGTGAGCTCCTGTCTTCTTTATCGATATTCATATCGAGTTTGCGAGTTTTGATGTAAGGTTATCACGTGATAATAGCATTTAGAAGACTTTGGCAAAGGGATGGGTAGTTCAGTTGACGTGCACACATAACTCCATCAACCGATTAACCTTAGATTGAATTGACTAGCCAATATAATGAACAATAAAGTATATCCAAACACCAGAACTATCGAGCTCAAACCTATCATCTACACAACTAACAAAAAATGTTCCCATGAGGTTACCACCTATCTAATTCCAAGCCAACCCTCCCTCTCCCACTCTGACTCCCTCATTCCCAACCCCCGAAAACCTCATAAAAACTCTCCACGAATCTCAGCCTACATTATATACCCACTCACCCCTAAAGCATCTATTCTATCAAAAAAAGTAATCACCCCCAGCCCTCAGAAACAACTAGCATACTCTCCTGGATTTCCACAGCCCTACATAGTATATCTACACACATTCGCATCTCCACCAATTCCACATTTTCCACCCCAGTAACCCAATCCACGTACCCATCCCCCCCAACCCGAAAAGCCAGCAACCACCAGCCAAGTGTCTGCTAGATATATCATACATCTATCCTCCAGAGCTTCTTCCCATTTCTCCGCTGATCACATTGAGTCCCATCTTCATTTCTAGACTTACCTACCTATCTAGCTCATCTTGTTCCAACAGCAACACTGCATACGCCCACTCTCACTCTCACTCTCCCTCCATCCACAACATCAAACATCACACCCAGGAAAACCAACCCTCTCAAAAAATAATCAGTCAACAAATCAACAAGTATCACGCCATCCCCATGCCTAGAAAATCAAGAAACTGTATTTATTTATTTATCCTTCCTTTTCCATATACTCACCCAACTCAGATACTTCCAGCCTATAAAAAGTACTATCTCATAAAGAGAGCTGATCCTTAATCTCTCATTAGGGGAGAAGATTTTGGGCTGGGATTATGTTGATATATTGGGATGATATTCTATATATATTGAAGAAATAGGATAGAACTCTCACCCACCTCTCCCCACCACAAAATATATAAACCATACCAATCCAGCACCTCCAAGCCCCCCTCCCCTCCAACGCCCTCTAAATACCAGATACCAAATACTAGCCCCTAAACCTCCCACCTAATATCTATAAATCTCTAAACTCAATACCTATGCATCCCTAATCCTACCACCCCTCCTTCCACACCAACCTCCTCATCTCCTCATCTCCTCACCTCATAATCCAGACCACTCCATTCCACCCCCCGTCTTACCCCCTCCGCCTCCCTCCTCACCCCTCCCTCAAAATTTAAACCCCAAAATCGAGAAAATGTATAGATATACAAAATCTCCTACACATTTCCAATTTCCAATTCCCAATTGTCGAAGAACACAACAAAGGCTTCCATAAGAATATTCCCAAGTTCCAGCTTCTTAATTCAAAGATGATCTAAATTTAATTCAGTTTGATATCAATCCTAATCCTAATCGTAATCTCAACTCCCATCCCATGTATTTCCAATTCCCGAATGAGATTCTTTTCGTTTACCTTGTAAAAGAACTCCATTCGTTTCCCATAGGATAGGTGTGCATACTCGAGTATACATCTACCATCTCCTCGTCTTCTAATCTCAAGTCCCGAGAAATGTAATAAAAATAGGTATCTCAAAATCCCATCCCATCCAAAAAATCACCCCCCCCCCCTCTCCTCCTTCCCACACCCAGCATTCCCCATCCCCCATCCCTACTCCCCCAAAACCATAAACGCCGCCCCCCCACACAAACTCATCAAAACCGCCACCGTCGCCAGCGCCGCACCCACGCGATCCCCCCTCGTAACCACCACTTGCATGCCCATCCCCTCCCTGCCCATCTTCGCACTCCCGGCTGCACTATCTCCCACGCTCGTCCCGCCCGTACTGTTCGTCACCGGGCCAATCCTCGCATTATCCGTACCAGGAACCGCCACCATCGCGCTCTGTATCGCGCCCAGCGCGCTCATCTGCTGTCCCACCCCCACATTGTTATCAGAGGTTCCTTCCGTCCACTTAAACCCACACGCACCCCCCGTACCCGCACATTGTCCTCCCGCGGCTTTCGCGCTGCTTTGCAAGATGGGAAAGATACTTTGAGCGGTAAAAGGCGCGAGGATAGACGTAGAGGCGAGCCAGGCGGTGAAATAGGCTTTGAAGGAAAGTTGATCGGTGTCACACTTATTAACCGTTTCGCAGGCCTGTTCAGTGATGATGGAATTTGTTTTGTTAGAGGCGAAGATGTTGATTGAGGTGTTCATCAATTGGTTGGTGCGTTGTTGCCAAGTGGAGTTTCCATCGGTCTGAGTATATATGTCAGTTTAGATTTCTTTCCCCTGTTATACTTCTCGAAAAAAAAAATCTATCTCCTATTCATCGTTATATCAAACGAGAAAATACAAAAGAGAAAAAACTCACATGATTAAACATATTCGCCGCTCCATGCAAATAAATCCCCGCATTATAACTCCACTGCAATCGATCTACACTCGCACAATTATCCGTATCACTACTCCCATCATAAATATTGTAACTACTATCAATCAATCCCACACTCTCTTCCCATTGCCAGATTGTCTCCGCCCAATCTGCGTACGTTTGATTTCCCGTATACCTAGCCAATCTAGCTCCTATATTGAAAAAACATCCATTCGCAATGGAATTTTTATACGTGAACCCATTATTGAAAGTGAATATCTGCCACCTCAATCCACCTCCACAAGTACTAGTATCCCATCGACTTGCCATTTCATTAAATACCGCTTGAGCCAACGCAAGCCATTGAGGTTCATCAGCAGGAGGATTTTGAAAATTCGATTCGGCAGCTAACATAGCAGCCATTCCCCAAAATCCTTGATCATCATTCCCTTCATCTTTGGTCTGATTCACAGGCATATAATCGGCATCTAGACCAGCTTGGAAGAGAAGAGCTTCAGATACAATACTATTGTAAGAAGTATCACCTGTATAGCGCCAATAATCTATCAATGTCATAAACATCCCACCACCTTCCCACCAGAAATAAGGTGGAGGTAAAAGACCTGGAGTTTGGCCCTATAATATATTAGCAAAGAAGCTGCATCGCATGATACCAACAACATATTCACATACCGATTCATTCCCATGATAATACGACACCAAATTTGCAGCCACCGAACTCGCAGCGCTTTTAATCGAATCTAGCCACAATCATCAGACTCAACATCCGAACCTACACCAGCCAAACAAACATACCAGCCTGTGAAGTATCAACCGTGAGAGCATCCACAACCCTCCACCCAAGCAACGGGCATACCCATAACCCACTCTGAATCCGCATGGTAAAATGACGTATATGCACACAAACAACAAAAGCAAGACCGATAAAAGAACAAAAGTAAAGCGGAGAAGAATCAACCCAAAAAATAGAAATCGTCTTGGGAAAGGAGAATTTGAACAGGGTGGCGCGGCGCGGCACAGATGCTGAGATGATAATAAACGATCGTAAAGATGACAGCAGATAATGCAAAGAGTAATTAAATATTATAGCCCTCTCAAAGGTGCGGTGGTAATATTCGTATCGTGTTCGAATCAGATACTCCGGGACCAAAGAGGACAAGTTCCAGTCATCCGATCTTCGCTGACGAAAAGAAATAAAAGATGGAAGAGAAGGAATGACAAGAAAAATAATTAAAACAATATGATAAGTGTTATGAATATCAAATCCATTCAATCATTGATTCATTGATGCGTAAAAGACAGAAAAAAGAAGAAGAGAAATCATAATCATAAACATCAACAACAACAATCAAACTCTTAATGAACCACCACACCAACTCTCAAAACCCTTTCATTCCAACCTTCCGCAAGAGAAACAAGTAAAACTCAATAAATTCATCTCACATCCTCCCATATCCAGAATCCATCCTAACACCCCTCCTACAAGTTGAAACTCTTCAAGTATCGTCAAATCAAGCCTGATACATGAAAGGTTCACGACGAACCCCAGTTTCGCTATGGCTATATCAGATGCCTACCTAGTGTTTACTTAACACCGCCACTCACCAAAAAAATAAAAAAATTAAAATAGCCTCAATGATAGAACTACTAAATAATCAATTCCAAATTCCAGTAAATGACGCTCCGCTGGTCCTCCGGAGGCCACTGCCGTGGAGGCAGAATATTCGACGATATCGATGCGATGCGAATCCAAGCAGACACAATAATAAGTAACCTAAAAGCTTTCTCTATCCTCGCACCCACGACTTTCCTATCCGCCCTCCTCTCCCCTCCCCTCAACCAAACTCCAACCTCCCATAGCCAGTATCCCCAAAGCCCAAACCATCCACATCTAGAAATCTCAAGTACACATAAGAAATAGCCAAGCATTCGGCAATCTATACGCCCAGACTTTTAGCAACCAGATACTCTTTTTATCCCCACTAACTAATGTATCCTCCCGGATATCCGGGGTTCCATACACTCTTGCAAAATGAGTACACATACAAAGCCCTCCAAATCCACTTATACAAATTGAATTTCACTTCGATACTCAAAATTCAACAATGAATCATATTCGTAAATTTTGATGTATTTATAATAAATCGCTCAAAGGAGTGATTTGAATACCTAGCTACTACGAGTCAACTCCCAAGGTTGTTCAATTCTGAGGATTTATTATCCATGATCCATCATCTCATCTCGTATCGTTTCAACGTCCCACTAACTCGTCTCATCCCATCTCATCTTGAGTCATCATCTATCAGACCCTCACTCATCCACCCCCAACCAAGAAAAGTATTCACAAGAATATAAGCTGTTATTAAAAAAAACCCCTAGCCTACCAACCACCCTCACAAAAAGGAACGGACAGCTAAAAACGCCATTAAGTGATATATCAACCACTCCACTCTCCATATCTACTCTCGAGAAATAACAAAAACAGGAAGCTGTAAGAAAATGTTCAAGCTGTTGTTGTAATGTAAGTCCCCCAACCCAATGCCAAGCTAATTTTCAAAAAATGCAAATGCCAAAAAAAACCCCCCACCATATGCGATAATGCAGTACTTTACAAAGCCATCATAGCAACAACTGCCACAATACCTGCAAATACACTGCCTTTGAGGACTCGTTCTTGATTTGCGACGAGGCTATCTGCACTGCTTTTGCTGGTAGTGGTAGAGCCATCTCCTTGGGAGAATCCACTGCTGCCAGTTGAAGATGAACCACTGGATGATGAAGTTGCTGATCCCGAGCCAGAATCACTGCTGCTACTATCATCACCAGAATGGTTATCTCCAACTCCTCCACCACCGGAACCTGTAAGTCCAGGAACCGTTGCGGCAGTGGAAACAGCAGTTGAACCAGAAGCTGCTGCTGATTCTCCCGCGGTCATATTTGTTCCAGTAGCCAAAAGGGAGGAGAGAATAGTGGCATTTTTTGAATCGATCACCGTGTCGTTGGTTCCCAAAGCACTGTTGTAATAGTATGACTTTCCGGAATTGGTTCCTGGAGCAGATTTTGCGTTGTAACATGAGATATCGACCGATTCAAATGCGGCATAGTAGTAACCGTTGTCTTTGATATCCTCAGAATTCCAGTCAATCTCACCACCTGCCCAAGCGATAGTTCCGGCACCGTTACTTGCGAGACCACCGGGCCAAAGAGAAAGTTGGACTCGAGCAGGAGTTTGTGGGAAGTTCCATTGGTTTGCGGTTGCGTTCCAGGTATCTACACGCTTCTTTGTACGTCCAACCTGTCCGTCTACAAGCCAAGTGATCTCATCAGGAGTCCAATCGATTTCGTACTCGTGATAATTGGCATAGGTGTCAGAAAGAGTGATATCTAACTCGTTGTCATCTTTCAACAGATTAGTATATTCTCGTGCGCTCATGAGAGATCTACTCACAATTTGTGATACCCTGGAAATAATAGTTGGACTGAGCAGTAGTCAATTCCGAACCAACAAATTCGTAATCGATTTCGTCCTTCACATCCGAGAAAAGAATAAAAGCCGTAATCACACCCTGACCTCTACTAGTCTTGAACTTTGCCTTTACATTTCCATACCACATATAAGTCGAAGATGCCATAACCGTTCCGACCGAGTTTGCCGACATAGTCAACAACACATTGTTATCGTAGATGACTGGACTTCCACTGTATACCCAATTTGACTTTGATGCATCACCCAAGTATTTTGTGTTTGAAGTTATACCATCCATGCTCGTAAAGGTATACGAAGCGCTCTCGCAGACGGGTTCAGGAACACAGGAAGCGACAGAGAACGACATTCGAGGATCACAACCTCCTAGACAATATGCGCCAGTACCACATTCTCCATATTCTACAATTGTTAGTTCAACCTTGCATACTTATACTTTGAAGAGCAGACTCACGAGAGCAACATGGTGTTTCTTCAGGACAGTGATTGTCGAGACTGCAAGCAGCGAACGCCACCGAGACTGAAGCCAGGACGGTCAATAACGTTGATTTTCCAACCATTTTGTATGTATATGTATGTGTATGTATGTGTATGTATATGCAGAAGTCAAAAAAGAGAACCGCCCAAATTGATATCGAAGCGATTGGCGATATCGAGGCGCCTTGAGGTAGTACGAAGTGTATGATGGTCAAGAAAAGAAATATAAAAGGTCCACGATCAAAGTGTGAAATTAACGGCGGGTTGCAGTTAAAGTATTCCCGTATTGAGTGAATAAGTATGTGCTGGGTATGATCGAATTTCTGGTTCGAAAATTGAGTAAACTTATAGTTCCCCGCGAAGTTCCAGAGTCCCGAATTCTTTCCTTATCGTGATATAAAATCTGTCGGTCGACCGTTTTATGTGCGTTTAACTGTTTCTTCGTACGGTTCCTTCCCTTGAAATTCCTCCAAATCGAAAGATTGTTAAATTGCTCTTGCTTGCTTGGCAGATGTTGCGTAATGGAAGAATGGATTCCCAAGCGAATGTGATTGACGAGACAAATGACAATAGAACAATAAGACTCAACGACGAATAACGAATGATGTCGTGAATAATGGATGAAGCTGGAGAAAGAAGTGGGATAGGGGGGAAGGAGAGGGAGAAAGAGGTATTTGAATGGGGAAGACAAGCTTAAGGAGGACAAGACCAGTAAAAGAGGGTCTAGGATTTCTGGGTTATTTTCATCCATGCGATATCCATGGTGGTGACTATTTTCTTGACTAGTGCTTCGACATTGTATCTCGAGTATTTTGACAGAGGACTGAGAATAAGTATTTAAAGACGGCAGTATTGGATTTACATATATTAACGGGTTTGGTGTTAGCTTAGGTTGTTTTGATCTTTTCAATCCTTTTCTTACTTCACTCAAGACTTACGACTCAATACTCAATACTCAAGAACTCACGATACCGACTATACCAAGCATAATCGCCACGGAAATTCTCAATTCCAAAAGGGAGTTTCAACCTAGCTTCCTTCACCTTCACCCGAGGTTCTCCAGTCTGCAGAGCACAATGTTCTAATTCCATCCCGCCAGACCAACATCCCAAATCGCCCTAATCTCGATCTGCACATCCTCCGCACCGTCCGTCCCGACTAGTCACCACTAGGAGATTTCTATTTTGCGAAAGAGTGGGCTCGTAGGATCATTTAGCATGACCAGTGTGGAGTCACTGGAGTGTTCACATCATCCTATTCATCAAGCTTCCAATCACAGCACGTATAAATATGGAGAATCTCGTACTCGACATGCATACACTCCAGGAGGGAGGCAAATAATGAAGAAGAAAAAACAGACTTGCACAATCGGGGCGATTACCCATTGGTAGTGTTGCGAATGAGGTGGAAGGACAAGCCAATACAACGTGAGTCCTTTTGAATCATTGCGTGGCCCTGAAGGGAATAGTAGTGCTGATGGATTAATGGTATGAGTAAAGTAGATAGAGAGAGAGAGAGAGAGAGATAGAGAACTTGAAAACATCCCTCGTATTTGAATCAATAGATTTATATATGTATGAATTTATGATGGAAACATGGAATCGTCGAAGCATGTGTTTATAGAATCATATAACGTTATCCATATAAACACATATATATTCATAGAATCACAAAGCATCATATGACCATAACAACATGAAACCTCTCAGAAAGTTAATCCTTAGCTTTAGATCTGATTCACAATTTGACGTACATACATAGGTATCTACCTACCTACAACGGCACATAAATACGCAATTACACTTTCCCCCATCAAACTCCACTCAAATTCCGGGGAGAACCTTTTCTTTTTGATTTAAGATTTACTTTTTGTAAGCGCTGAACCTTAGCTGCTTAGTAGTCTGAAACCCCTGAAAATCCCTCCCCACGAGATCACGAAGAGAAGAAAGAAAGAAAGAAAGAAAGAAAGAAAGAAAGAAAGAAGCAAAAAAAATATGTGGAAACGAACGTTGGAATTGATTGTTGACGCGCTTATAATTAGGAACTCGAGTTTGTATAGGTAGGTATCTTCAATGATTCTGGTCTGGGGAAGTGAATGATCTTCGTATTGTGTTACATACATCATGTGTGTGGTGTATTGTGAATAATGAGCATAGGTAATTTTGTAGATATACCTAGTAGATATACCGTTAAGTATATTTGATAGACATCAATTTCTCTCGAGAAGGACAATGTATTACTGTACTCCTCAATTCAAGATTCAAGACATCGATGTGGTATTTACGAGCTACAACAACAACAAGATCCATTGCGTACCTATCTATGCCAAGACTATCTTTTTCCAAAGTAAAATATCATCTAGAATTCATCATTCATCATTTATCATCAATCCCTCATCTACATCCTAAACATTATCCTTTCGTCTATCAGCCTCACACCTTCCATCACCCCTCACATACATATCCATATCCATATCCACCTATATACACATCACCAAATTATCATAACGTGTATACATCCATTCTCACAATCTATTCGTACCGATACACCATACACAGATATAACCAACATTCCCGACCCTCAATCTAATCTCCAGATCATACTAGCTTGGCTAGGTAGGTACAAACTAACATCTCGGCACGGCGCGACACGCGATTGATGGTATCGACCTGGGTAACCTTACTGTACGCCCACTCTCCTTATTGTGTATTTTGTGTAGTCAAATGACCAGGAACATGAGATGTGAGATATGCGATGAGATGAAATGAAATGAGATGAAATAAGATTAAATCAGGAACCCGGAAATGTTCCTGGATGATACATATATACATACATATATTCACACCTATCTAAATAAGTTTACCTCATTGCAGTTGAGATAGAAGAATAGGTAGGTAGGTAGGTAGGTAGGTAGATAGATATATACTTACAAACCCATCCATATATTATAATATCCCTAGAAGTATAGATAGAATACATAATACAATATCAAAACCTCAGATACACAAACTCCACATACCTACCTACCCATTATATATACATATGCAAATATCTACATCTACATTGATCAACCCCATCTCTAGCAAATCCGACCCCTACTAATTAGACAGCTATATGCCTTATATAAAAATACCCAAATACCCAAATATAACCTAGGTATCTATTTAACAAATACAAATACAAATACAAACATATCCACACGTACCTAGGTAGGTAGCACATCAACATCCTCTGGTTACAGCTGGAGGTGAGACTCGATTAGAATATACTATACTGCACTACACTAGTCTGTTATAGACAATGTTATACCATATTTGTAATGTATCCATGTACCACCCATCATAGATTCCATCTCACCATCTCCATCTCATCTCACCATCTCTCTTACAATCTCCAAACCTTACCATCTCCATCTCGCAACATTGATCGAGAAATCCACAATCTACCTCCTAGATTTCCAGAGTCCGGAACTTGGAAGTCCAGTATCTTTCTCTCCTGATAGGTATTATATATAGATACATCCTTCCATTCATCCATATACCCCCCTTCTTTATCAGATCCTCAAGCTGCAAATAACACCTCTATTCCAAATACATCTCATCGCATCGCATCTTATCGCATCTCATCTCACTCCATCATACATCATACCAAACCACAACAACCTCAAACCAACCTATACCTACCTACCTTTTGTTCAGGTATCATATCCCATCCCACCCCACTAACACTGCAATTTTCATCTTTGCATTCTTCTAATCTTCCATTCCTGCATTTCATTCCTCCCTTCCCTTCCATTCCATTCGTACCTCATACCTCACTTCACACCTCACACCTCATACTTCATATCCCATATCCCATATCCCACACAATACGCACAACCTACCATTCCCCATCTTATTCAATCTCATCCTTCAGTCTCATCTCTCATCACTATCTCACCCCTCAAAACCCCGCCAACTCGAGGATTCCAAAGTTCAAACTCGGATATTCGAGATAAATGTAGTAGAGAATAAACAACAAGCAGGCAGGTAGGCACGCTACGAAAAGAAGAAAAGAAAAGAGAAAGATAGAAGTCAGAAGATAAATTAAAAGACGATCGAAAAACAGAGAGAAAAACAGAGAGAAAAACAGAGAGAAAAACAGACCTAAAGATATATCCAAAAACATTTCCAAAGAGAAAACCCACGCTCCAGAGACCAGCCCACGGAACTTCACTCACAGACTCCCAAGACAAGAAAAACTTCACTTTCCAGAATCCAGAATCCAGAATCCGATGTAAAGAGATAAGATGAGAAGCGCAAGACATCAAGCCAGCCAAATACAAAGATACAACAGCCATAGATGTATGTATACTACGTGGTATCCTGTTGATGTTGTCATCCATGATCATTTTCCACATTTTTGGGGAAAAGGAAAGAGAGAGGGAAGGGAAAGAAGAGGAGAGGAGATGAGATGAGATGAGATGAGATGAGATGAGATGAGATGAGATGAGCTCTTATTCAAACGCCTGAATAGTGATATAGAAACGCGCCTTTATTTCCAACCATGATCCGTTCATCGTACCATTCATCCGTCCATCCATCCATTCACCAATCATGCAATAAACCCACCAAACCGTCCCAACCCAACCCAAGCATAGAAGTTGCAAACCCAAAAAAACAGAAGCGCACGAAAAATCAACATAAATTCAATGGACAAATACACATCCATCCATGCTTACTTGCTTATACATATAAAAATAGGTAAGATAACTTTCTCTTCAAAACCGAATGATCAACCCAAGAGCCGAGCCGAGCCATTCCAATACCCAAGCCAACATCCTGTACTTCCTTCCGAAGACATTTCCCGAAAAGAAAATATTTTGAAGAAAGAAACGAAAAAAAGAGGAGAGAGAAAAAGAGCATGCCAAAATTATCCCACCCGATTCCATCCAGCGCCCCCCTTATATTTTCCCGCCAAAATTATCTTTGGCGTACTGTTCGCAAGCCTAGATGACGGATGGGAAGCTTGGTTAGTTATGGTTAATTCAGCGTATCGATACTAGTCTCTCCATCTCAACAAATACATATCCAAGACCCATATTTCTCCAGACCAGACGTCCCAGAAACAAAAGTCAAATAACAAGCAGAAGTAAAAGCTTACCTTGGCGGGTTTTCCAACTTTCTGTCCAATAGCCTTCCACTTATTCGCCTCGTAATCCTTGATGGCCGCGAGCAAAGCCTGACTCTATTTGAGCATCAGCACGTACCATATGCATGATATGCTGCAAAGATAGAACGTACCTCATCTTCCGCGAATTCCGCATAATGCATGTCCTAAACTCTATTAGTCTATGTCATAACAACCACCCAAACTACATTCGTACTAGCGAGACAAATGTCTGGGGAGAAAATGATGAGAATGAAAGTATGCATTTACCTTGTACCAGTGCTTCTTAACACTTCCTTCAGTTCTTGCTGGGAAAGTCTACAAACACAAAGTTCAGGTCTTAGCTTCGTCTCCAGGCTTTGTGCGACCTGACATGAAAAGTCTGTTTGGGTCACTCCAAAGTAGACTTTCATCTGATCTCACCTTTGCAATATCCGCCCAGCTATTACCCGCATCCCTCATATTCTTCAATCTCTGCTCTTCAGCAGGTGTCCAAGGAGTATTGGTACGACTCTTTTTAGCAGGTGGTGCCATCGACGAGGCCATATTGGGATCATCTAAACCCGCCGAAGAAGGTCCTGCAATAGATGAACCCGCCTGCATATTGAAAACCGAAGTATTCGTTGCCGTTGCAGGGCCCGAGGCGCGTCTCTTATTTCGCGAGCTAGCTGGCGAAGGAATCTCGGATTTGAGAGAAGACGTGTCGGTGGTCGATGGGTGATTATGTGAGAGTTGAAAGCTCGCGTTAGAATCGATTTCTTGTCTATCTACACGCTTAGACATTGGATGGATGTTCGGGGGTGAGTGCGCGGGAAAGGTAAAGAATGCAGAGAAATCTTCGAGGTCGGGAAGGTTCGAGAAGTTTTTTGGTGGTTGTTGCGCGAGAGAGGTGTCGGAGGGAGCTGCAGGCTCGCGTGTGGATTGGTTCATAAGATCACCGTGTGAGGCTGGGGTATAGATACAAAGATACTTACGTTCTCATGTACTTGGGAACGTTTGATTGTAGTCAACAGGGCTGACATCCCTTTCTTTGCATATCTTGCCGAAGACCGTTGGAAGCGCTTGGCACCACTTCGGATCCTAGGACAACCTGTAAGGCGTCTGGGGAAGTGGAGATGTTAATGATATAGTCGATGGCCCATTCATCTAATATTGTGTGACAAGCAAGATTTTGTGTGAAGTTTGATGATGGGGAATTTTGTTGTTATAGGTGTGATCTGATGACTAGAGGGGGGCGGCCACATCCAGACATTAAGTATCCTCGGTACATGTTCCAAGGACATGACATGTGGACAAGGAATAGAAGCCGGAAGAAACAACAATAAATATGCCTGTCTACGATCGGGCCACGGTACATACACGATACCAACCGTCCTTGCAGTGACTTTGAGCGGCTGAAATGCCAATCATAGGTCTATCGCACGCACTACAAGAGCCTGAGATGCATCTCCATAATTTTAAGTATTGGCCATGTATTAATATATATTCGGTAGCCCAAGCATACTTCTGGATTTCTCATTTCCAGCGCGGCTTGCGAGGACGGAAAGTCAAGGGGAATGACTGGCTCGACTTGCAAAAACAGGCTGACAAGTGGTGTGGATGAGGAGGGTGAGAAAATGAGCATACGTGAATGGTCATCATCCATGTATTTTCCTAGTGGAAAGATCGTCAGATCCACGTCTGCGTTTATTGTAAACTTTTGTGCTACCACCAAATGCTAGGGTCTGTAGAAGTCATCCCTAGGTATAAAAGATGAGGAAACTCGAACTGCCCCCAAACCCTTTCGTCTTTCTCCGGCGCTTTGGTTACACTGGGCAGGGGATGAACGTGGGTTGTTGGTGAAGAGGATGCAAAGTTAATTGCATTTCATAATTTTCCTTGACCCCGGAGAGAAGTAAGTCATCGTGATACATTTTCTGCCGGCTTTTGCTTGGATGCTTTGACTCAGCTCGATGTGCAGTAGTAAGATGCATGTAATGGTGGGAATATGAATTTCTTGATTGGAGGTTGATAAATGATGCTTGTCAGAGGGGAGATCTGAATGGTTGAAGAGCTGTCCTGTCGTTTAAACTAGAACCGAAAGCTGCGGGGTATGCAACATTTAGCACAATATCTCATACATCTCGCAATCTACCTAGTTTAGAAGCATATCAACAAATGAAATTATCATCTTGGAGCTTATCGATCAATCCACTCTCCTGCCAATGTGCCATGGTTTCTCTGTACTCATTCCTGTACTAGACGTATTAATCAATATTGCTTTCAAGCTAGAAGATATGTGATGGGAGTATATCTCAGATCATTAGAAATATCCCAGTAATCACTGTTCTCGTATCAACACCTTGAAATCAAAGCGGTGTATAGAGGATTCAAGTTCTAGATGAGGCTATCGCACTTCTTCCTTCTCATCCAGATCTTGGCTTGACTCGTTGTCACTATTTGATCAATATGAATTGGTCCGTCACCGTTCGTGGAACCTCCCCTATTTAATTCTGTTCCCCTCTAGGTTGGTTTCCGTCCCTTTATTAATTGAAATCCATGTGCAGGTCCATGCGTGTACGAGGCATCATGTTGGCAATGTTTGGTTAATCTGACAGCATTGTGCATCTTCAATCCTTTGACATCAATTACATATATCTCCGTATGTACAGTACAAGGAATGACCTTTGGGTTACCTTGATAATGCAATCAAATAATGAGGCCAAGGTAATCGGCGCAAAGAGTTGATTGTGAATGGTAGAAATGTTTGCTATCAACTGCAAGGCGTTCCCGATGATTCGAAATTGGGGTTGCTTCGCCGCAGCCCGCACTAGGCATTTCGCCGACATGTAATTCAAATTTTAAATGCGAAATGAATTGAAAAGCGGTACATGGACTCGTTGACACTTCCGTGCCGGTTATTGGGTGATAGACGGGATCCTCGGGCCGTGATTGGAAAAGAGTGGTTGGGATTTATATACCCAACAACATGAATGGTGGACCCGACCGTTTGGATTGTCTTCAGGAGATGTATGGTTTTTGGTTTTGGGCTCTTGAGGTACAAAAAAAGAGAGACGGACTAAAGCGAACAAACAATTTTAGCTTCATGTGTTTGTTTCAAGGGGATCTCTAAGGGGATCAAGAGCGGACAAGTGTTACTTATTGAAGAAAACCTTGAGGTAGTAGTTTCCTGTTCAAACGGCTTTTTTCGTTTGTTTTGTTTGATGTTCCAAAGTAACAACCCCTTAGGTTCCTCCGAAGTTTGAGATGGTCGATTTTATTAGTTTGTTTCTTCATATAGGTAACTAGGGGACTCGTGACTGTTTCCTTCTTGACGGCTATATTCTGGCAGTTAAGCAAGTATACCTCGTGAACAATGAACTAACTGTAGTGACTTGTGAGACTGTCAAATTGAATACCTCCGGATACATGCATGATCTTGGCTAACCAAAGTAACGGCGTATGAATCCTGGCGTATCTGCACCTAGCCATAGTTGTAAAACTATGGAATAATACTCGGAGGAAAGGTCTGCCGGCTACTCACATCCGACCATCTTCTGGATTTCATCAAAATTGAAATCCGAGAGGGAGAAAAAAGAGGAATGGTTGGCGTGAGCACGTGGATTACACGTGATGTGTATCACAAAGTTCGAAGGCTACGAGTAGAGCCATTCTGTGGAATGTCACGTTGTAACATATATCATTCTGATTGGCATTCTGATACCTTTCATTTTGATGCTCTCTACATGATCCTTCGACTCGGATGGGCGAAATCCGACATATTGGGGGCGAAAGAGGGGGAAAGATAGAACAAGTTTCTAATTGTTCCATGGTGGAGATTTGCGGAGTAGAAATGATGATAGGATTTAGAAAAATCAAAACACAACATGTCTTCAAATGAACCTTAACCAACAAATCATTATATCATAGCAGGTCGTGGCCGCAGTACAACAGCGCAACAGGCGCATAAATAAGCTAACAGTTTATCCTCCGATCATTTTTAGACATTCTTACTGGTGATATGTTCTTGCTTACCAAAGTAGGGTCATGTACCTGATATTATATTCCTTCACCGTTATGAAAATTCTTTCTTTTCATGCGATGACCTCGAGACATAACGAGTGACAGAATTGGATCGACTTTGTTTGAGGCCACGCCACCATATTCATCCAATACTTGCTCAAATCCCATTTCAGAGTGACTACTTTGCCAAGTCGAACAATTTAGAATAACAAGCGTTAATGTGTGCTATGTAGTTAGGCGATCCATGATCCGTTCTTGGTATCGCATCTCGTATGCATGTATTGGTATGTCTATCGTCGTGTATGGGGTAATTGGAATATTACCCATGAATAGAGTAAAGTTAGGTGGCGATGATGGAAAGAAACGGCGATGGTAAAGCTGCATATGTTGAATAAGTCGATTGATACCTAGGTAGGTAGTTGAGGGATAAAGTAGATATCACGTAGCACCTAGGTACGTATAGAGTAGTAGTTGAAGAAGGGTCGAATTATCCGTTGACGAAAAACAAGGTTAAAAGCAACGTCAAAGGTACCAATGTTCAATTCAAGGTAGGTGCTCAAGTAGGTATCTACCTGGTAGGATCTTCTCCAAATCAGTGCTCAGGTGACAAGGTTTGATTGACGACTTTTCCCCCTTCATCTGAAAAATAAATCCCAATTAGTCCAGTTTCCAACTTTTTAGACTCTCCATCATACCCTTTGAGTCTAAATTTTCGACCCTTGATGATCAAAATCAGATACGACTCATACGAGAGTATCCATTGAAACTTAAGCATATTAACTCAAGTACACTAACGACATCCATGATTAGACTTTCCGTTAAGGTTACTTACTTTCCTTATAGGGCTGTTGTGGCTGTCAGAATTAGAACCCTTGATGTCTTGGTGATCGATTACCTCGTACCTACCCCCTACCTGCCCCCTACTCACCTAACTAGTAGGTAGGTAGGTATGTATTAGGTAGTCAGGACTCCGTACGGGCCGTCAGTACACACCTTTTTGGTCGAATGTCACCTCAACGAGCTCACCAAAAGATCGGACGCTCATCCTTCCGGACACTGGCCAATTTCTTTTTCCAACACTTGTATTGCTTCAATTTGGGAAATCCAAGTATCTTACATGTTTTGAGACGAACGATGAAAAAGATTCGAATCAATCGTTCAAGTATCTGACATGAAAAGTTCTCAATAGCTTCATTATCACATCTCAAAATACCTCGAAACGTCTTATGCAAAGATATTTCATTAATTTCAGACTCTAATCGAACTGACTGTCCACTTGTGTTCAGTATCAACCAACCTCTCGACTTATTAGTAGTTCTACGCTCAATGCAGATTAGAGAATATTAGAGAGCACGTTTGTAGTATCTCCTGCGAGTACCATTGCTTTGCGTCAACACAACGTTTCTTAGTACCTCAGCTAAGGATAGATAGTGTTGTGCCTGTGCGGTGCGACGACAAATTCAATGACGCTATTCTATTTTGATGTTAATTGTTCCTATTCCTGACCTGTCATTTATCGTTAATAGTTCTTGGTTGCTCTTCCACTTGGTGTGTAGGGCAAATTGCGTCGTACTAATGAGCCACTCCAAACGGTTCTAAATGGTCCAAACACTGGAATATCAAGCATGATCACAGAGGCGCGCGGCGATTGTTCCAACTTTGGTCTTATTTACGTCCCATCTCCACGATTATTCATGCATTCGAAGCTTTTTCCCAGGGAGGATAAGTGAGATAAGAATTTCAAAGTCCTTGGTATCGATGGCTCGAGGGTCAATGAGGGTCACCATAATCCCGGTACGAAACTCTTCGAAACTCGCTTCCCCCTCGACCCCTCCAGGTCTTGTAACATTGCAGAAATCTTCAATTGCAACAATTACATTACCCATTTTGATGTTGCTTTGAGAAAACGCCTTATTGCGAAGTCGCATGGGCTGTATACAAATTCAACCATCCAGAAGTTTGCGTTTACGAGATTTCAATTTCCGATGGCCATCTGGGAGAGTTCTCCTATGAAATGTCGGCGCAAGTTTTGAATGTCATCAAGGTTATCGTACTTGAGACCCCGCCTCAAACGTCAAACAGAGATTTACATCATTTACCCCAGTACCTAAGAAACACTATTTTGATGCAGAAACGGGATGAAAACTCATAGAGATATGCAACTCTACCCATGCGCAATCAGAAACTGTGATTCCATCGACTACTCGTCGTTCCCTGTAAGATGGTTTGGAACTTCAGAGTTCACTGAACTTGGTTTTATCGACATTCTAGACAACCAAGTTGGTTCTTTATATAATATCTAACGTTCTGCTCTTCAATTTTTCCTCTTCTTTCCTTACACTTGACGTGACTACCTATTTCGCAGCTAATATTTACTTTCCTTTCTTCACCAACTGGTTTGGCTGCCTTACATTCTTTATTGTAGTTATATCTTGTTTTACTTATCTTATTTCGACTTTTTGACAAAGATTACATTCTACACCAACTTTTAACAACATTTTCGATTCTTCGATTGCCGGCTCAACCTTCTTTTTTTACACAGTATACTTTCAATTTATCATCAATCAACGACTATCATCATGTCTTCCAACCAAATGAACACCCAAGTGGCATCATCCACATACGTTCCAGTCGACGTAGCCCAACGACACGAATATGGCATCCAGAAGAACCGTAAAACAGCTTCTACTGGTGGTGGCAGAGCTTGGAGTGAGGATGAGGTATGAATGAAACAAGAACTTTCAATAAGGAAACTCACTAATCAATTTATTCTAGGAAGTTTATCTTCTTCAAACTCGTCTTCAGAAAATGCCTTACAAGCATATCGCTTCTCATTTGAAGAAGACTGAATTGGCTTGCCGTCTTCACTATCATCAATTATCCCATGGAAGCAACCGCCGCAAGCGTACCAATTCTATGACTTCCTCCGCTAGCTCCAATTCAGAATCCTCGACTTTACCTCTCCGAATGCCATCTCCAATTGACGAGGCTACGCATCTCCGAGCCATATCACCTGTCTACAACTACTCACCACAATCACCTCAACACGTTCAACTCCCATCTGCATCTTCACTTCTATCCCGCTCAGCTTCCAACAGCCCTTCTAGAAATCTTGGTCACCCCATTGCTATTCTTCCAAAGCCAACCTCTTCTCGACACGCAATTAATGATTTTCCATCGGATCAAGCTCTCCGTCTCGATTGCGTTATGACTTCCACCCCAGTCACTGTTGCCAGCGTTGACAAAGAACGTCTTCGTCGTGTATACGAAGCTCATCGCAACTCTTTCTGGAATGTCATCGCATCTGAGTATGGCGGAGGCGTATCTCCTCTTTTACTCGAGGAGACCTGGAAGCAAGGTGTCGCATCCAATGGACCACCAACTCCATGTGTCTCCCCAGACATGCCAAATCTCAACCGAGCAAGCTACCACCATTACAATAGCCAAGCCCCTCAACGATTGCCATCACCCAGCCAAGAAATCAAGAACAACGCTACCAGTATCTCGGCACTTCTCGGTATTGATGCTAGTCCCCGTAGCCCTAAGGAAAGAGAGATGATCAAAAGATTGGAGGAAATTAGGGAGATGTGTTAAATAATTTTTCTTTCTTTATCAATTATATCTATTCAAGATTTCATTCGTCAGGTGGTACACAAGAAATGGTAATCTTATTGGCACGACACGAATTGGACGATGGTCATGAGGGGAGGGTCTCGAGCTCCACTTTGGATACGATTTGGGAACGGAGGGTATTTGCACGATGATCTATTCTTCTCGGCGCAAGGAGGGGAGTTATGGGGCATTCGTTTAAATTCATCTACCAATCTTTCCAATAGGGTATTTTGTGTAGTACAGTAACAAGCTTTGATCGCAATGACGCGAATCCTGAATATACTTTTGAATCTCAAATCCATCTGCCTTCTACCTGTATCAGTTGTTTCACTGTCATTCATTTGTTTATCCGTAGACCCCGTACTTTTCGATATAAAACATCCTTATGGTTTCATGTGTGTCTTTAGGAGACCATGAGATTGCGTCTAAAACATTCTGTGTCCACAATGTGCATATTTGAAGATCAGATGAAACATATGAGATAACCATTTAGGATAGAGATATGGTGGATATGTAGAGCTTTTCCATACAGTAATATCCATTTTTATACCAGGAAAAAAGATAGAGCTTGTGTATGTAGTTGTGATTGAACTTGAGGTTGATTGAAAGTTACCTCGGTGGCCCAGGCCCATGTGGATTGTCCGAATTCTTATTTAGTGGAGCATCTAGAGTCCGGAGACAAACTATCAATTAAGCATCTACTAACGTAAATGACGTGGGGTATAAGGTTAAGAGAGCTTACCTAGAAGGTTCCAACCATAACAATTACCCATATCCAGTCTCATCTCGAGCCCAAATTCTTTAATCTAGAATGATACCGTCACTCATCAAGTATGGTCTTCGGGCTACCAAATATGCAAAAGATGCTAACGCATCCGCATTGGCCTCTATGCTGCTTAAAGAACATTCAACAAATGGTCCATTGGTCCGCTCACAATATCTCGATGCAAATCAACTCCAGCGATTGAGCGCCACGCTTGCTTCTCATAGCTTGTCTGATTCCTCCTCCAGCTTTGCGGTAGAGTCTAGTTCCGATGCCCTTCCAATTCCTCCCTGTCACCATCTAGTATATTTCACACCACCAGATGCCGAGGATAAATTGGGGCTTGATGGATCCGATACGATATTCAATCCGCCAGGCTCTTTTACAAGGAGAATGTGGGCCGGCGGGGAATTGGAATGGGTGGATGGAAATAAGCTGGTAACGGGGGAGAAGGCAGAGGAAACAACAACATTAAAGAGTGCGGAAGTGAAGAAAACGAAAGCCGGGGATGAGATGATAGTTGTGGGGGTTGAAAAGACATTCAAGAATTCCAGGGGACTTGCGCTCGTGGATCGAAGGTAAGTGAAAACTCGCCATATCATATTGTTGGAGCATTGAAGTTGTCATTCAATTGGAGAAGTGACTCAAGAATTTGGCAAGCTGGTAATATATGCTAAATCAAAATACAACCAGAAATTGGTTGTTTAGACAAGCAATTGATTTTAACAACCCGCCTCCTCTTCCGCCACTTCCTTCCCTCATCCCAGTTACTTCCGCCAAATATGAGCACACTATTACCCATACGCCGATATCCCTTTTCCGGTTTTCCGCATTAACTTTCAACGCGCATAAAATACATTTTGACCGGGACTGGTGTCGGAAAGTCGAGGGACATCGGGATTGTGTCGTACATGGTCCGCTGAATTTGATACATATGGTTGATTTCTGGAGGCATATTATAGGAAAGAGTGAGGGAGGCACGGTGAATAATAAGCTTACGGTTCTTCTGCCAAAAAAGGTTACGTATAGAGCTACGAGTCCATTCTATGTAGGGGAGGAGTACCGGATACTCATGGAGGAAGAGAAGGAAAAGGTCTGCAATGTAAAGATTGTAGATCGGTTTGGAATCGTGGGAATGGTAGGCAAAATTGAGAGGTGGTGATGTTATAATGTGGAATGTTGTTAATGCCCGAGGAAATGTTGTGCTATGCAACTATGATGATCAACATTTAGCATGTTCTACTGGATACACCCTTGCATTCTTGTCATTATCAGGATGCTGCGTGCATGTCTTTCCCGGTCTGTATAGTTTTGTACGACCTACTGGCTAACCTACTCTGAATATATCTCGGGGCTCACAATCACGATTCAGCGAACTCAAATCTACAGCAGTATCTCATCAAATTCAAAACTAGGTTGTCATTAAGAAATGTCATCGCTATTAATCAATACTAAATTCGACTCGCTCATAATTCAAGAAAATGCGGTACAGCTCGTGGCCATTGCCGACGTCGACTGGAACTCTACTTTCGATACGTCATCTCCCTCTCCCAATACCACATCAAACGTGGTAGACCATTGCACATCATCGATCGACTTCGTCCCGCTGAATAAATAATATCCATCGATTTCCTCACTCACCTTCTCCATAGCTGTACGTTGCACTTCTAGTGATTTCACCATCACGCCTGGTATGGCACGCTCGGATACCCAGTCAAAGGCGACAGGTTCGCTGATACGATCGGCACGAACGGCTGCAGTAACTGTTATATTCCATTGGCCTGCGTCATCGACGGCTACCTGTGGCTGACAGGATTGTGCCGGTTGGTATAGAACGGCGTCTGAGAGTGGGAAACCCCCGCCGTTATTGGTGATGATTTCATCAGCTGCACCGACGGTATGTAAGATGACATCGAAAGACGAGATGCCGGCTGTAGCATCAAGAACAGTGCTGAATCCATACCAAGTGAAGATCTCTGAAGCGAAGCCATAACTCTGACCCAACAAGTAACGTTCTCGAGTGGCAGGAATTGTAGTGGTCGAAGTGTTGTTTTTACGATCGCGGTATTGAAGAGATACGGTCACATCATCGGCGTTGCGGTTGGTGGTGCGAACGCGGATGTATCCTCCAAAGGAAAGAGTGTTATTTCCCGCCAAGAAAAGAGAAATTCCCCATGGCTTCACTTCGATGGGTGTGATGACTTCAGAAAGTGTGACGTCTGCAGGAACAGTATCGATCATTCGAGCGAAGATTTCAGAACATTGCGTTTGGAAATTCGTCGGATCTGCTAAAGAAGTCATCGTTTTGTTGTTGTCGGCACCAAAAATACGTTTATCGGAATTGAAGGTATCATTTTGACCGATCACAAGCGGGTCGGTCGAATTGTTCCCTAGATATTCAGTTACAATAGTGTTGTCGAATTTGGTGTAGGTGCTGTCGAATTTTGGAAAGTTTTCTGCGCTGCCGTCGCCGGTAATCTGAGGAAAATCGAGCCCATGGACACCTCCGAGAGTATGGCCGCATGCTACCATGGTTATCATCTCGGCGGTGTTGAATCCTTGCTTTGCGAAGATTGCAGTGTGTGTCGCCAAATCCTGATCAGGCTCGGGTACGCCAGAAACACCAGCTTTCATGGCATCGACTCGTCCACCTCTGTATGGAATGATTGGGCCGCCACAAGACATTGAAGAAACGACAACGGCCATTGCAAGAAGATCGGCCGACGAAGCTTTAATTGAGCGAAGGTCTTCTGTAAATGCAAAGGTAGCATTAAAAGCATCACCAGGGTTCTCCGCTCGGCCAAGTTCAAAGGCTATAGAACCATCGAGTCCTCCAAGGCCAGTCTCTACATCATGGGTAGCCATATCATGATAAGCAGTTCTTATCCATTCCGCAGCCGCCTGACGTCCACCTCCTGTCGACGAGAAATCGCACGGCGTCACACCTGATACGAGAATTAGTAAGCCATTCATTCTCAACATCAACTTGAAATATCTTTTTCAAAAACTTACCATCTCTCAAGCCAAAACGTATGTAACCTTGTTGAAGATAAAGAATATCCTCTAGTTGATCATACTCGGACGGCCAAGTGTAAACCGCATTAACTGATAGCACGGGTAGCAAAACCGTGCTGATTAAAGATGCCCCCTTCATGTTTAAAAATGGCTTGAAAAGAACGATATTGACAATAGAGAGTCAACGACGTAAACGAGTGTAGTGAATGATTGAAATGTTCAACACTTAGTAGAATGGGAATGCAATTATATATCGGTGAAAGATGAGTGGAATGCCAAGTGTTTTATAGCAACACAACTGCAAGTGTGTTAAATCAATTACTGATAGGGACTGATTCCTGTCCCATTCTTTTCTGCCCCGAGTCCACTCGTATTTCCTGAAATACATTGGGATCCATATGTTTAATCTTCTTCAGAGTAGGGCCATCAAAGAAGTGGGAGGGTTTAGGAATTCGATTAATAAAGATGGATAGAATACGATGGATGTATCAATAGTCATGTAACCTACGATTCCGAAGTAGAAGGTGTACCGGTATGCGAAAGAATACGACCGCTGCCAAAAAGTAGTCAAGACTCCATTTTCACAATAGAGTGGATACGCATGGGGGATTTTGGATGTTTTTAGACTTTGTTATTTCAACGCTAGAACGTTGTACAGAGTTATGGAGAATAGATGATTTGCTCGTGAGCTTCGCCTGGGGTGAGTGTCAGTTGAGTAAATAGAAGGTTAATTAAAAGCTTGTTCGTGATTGTGGAGATACCCATTGTTTGAATGGTGGACGGAGAAGTGCACGCATGAAAGGGTTTAATTCGAGGGACTAGGGTGCGGTTGAAGGGAGTATAATGGATAGGGATCCGGAGGTGGCTCGGGTGGATGTGTAGTGGATATTGTATATACGAAGTAGATAGAAAATGGTAGCTGGCTAACTAGCTGCGGAAAGGGGGAGATCATTAGATTTTGGAGATAAGGTGAGATCGAGTGGAGTAAAGAAAAGTATATAAAGTTGTACATGTCCCAAAGATCTGATGTTTATGGTAGTGTTACTCTAAACCCCTCTCAAGATCCTCGAGTAAAGCACGACGTATACAAGCAAAGTTCCAGTCCCTCTGCAAATCAACTCTTGAAAAGGAGAGTCGAAAGAAATGTTTGGTCGCGTGATTATGAGATCGTATTATATCACGCGTACATGAAATCAGATCACATACCTACCTACCATGACTCGCTTGGTATCAATGTCTTATTCCTCTATCGAATAACCTGTAACGATAGGTAGGTAGGTATGGTAGATATCCAAGTAATATACCAAGATACCTAACCAAGCAAATGAGTAAGAAACCAATTCCTTACATCAACCCTCCTACCATATACCCACGCAGCATCTCTCATAAAATCAAATCCAATCCTTCACAACCCCTCTCCATAAAATCTGCCTATCTGCCCATCTTCCTACCCAAATCCACAAATTCACAAGTTTGCACCTGTACTCTTTATCGCAAACCCCCCCCCCCCCCCAAAAAAAACTGATATTCAGCCTCCACACCCCCGAAAATCTTCACATGATATCAGCACCACCCCATAAATCTCCATCTCATCCATTCACACATTCTGCTCACCGAGGATTTTTCAGCCTGAGAGTCAGTCATACAGTCATAAGTTCACACGTTGGAAGATTTCTCTACACCTGAAAGTGTGAAGGATCGGAAAAATTTCATAGGTTCTCGTTTGCCCCCGCCACAACAAGTTGATCCACTCGAGATCGTCAGGCAACGGTTCGCAGCGGCTCAGCCGCGTTTGTGATTCATTTGTTTTACTTTGCTGGCGATTTTGTGAGGTTTGTGATTGTGGTATTGTTTATAAAGAAAGATTTTATGTGAAGGACTCAGATTCTTTTGGATGGGTACTTTTGCATGCGTTCTGAGAAATCTTGTTGTTTGCTTGTTGATTTGAGTTTATTGCGATTTTTGCGCATCGAAAAGCGATAAGTGATAAAGAAATAAAAGGTTGCAGCGTCAAGACCAAGACGAAGACCAAGACCGAGGTCAAAAGCAAATTCAAGATGTCACGACATCAGCACCACAGCTCTCGAAATGAGAAATCACATCCTCATTCCCATTCTCGACGAGATACTCGTCATGAGAAAAAAAAAGTGACGCCGAAAAATCTAGCGGCGACCTTGGGGATGATGGGGTTGGCGATTGGGGCTACGTTGTTGACGGAGGGGGGACCGTGGAAGAGTCGTATGGCTGCTGCGGCTACGGTGGTGGGGATGGAGCAGATGCTTGAGAGTGGGGGGTTTTTTGATGGGAAGGGGGAGGGGGATGGCAGGGTGGTTAGGGAGAGGGAGGAGAGGAGGGAAAGGGGGGAGAGGGGGTTTGAGGAGGAGAGAAGACGGAGGGATGTGGAAGATGATGATGAAAGAGCATATCGACATCGAAGGGAGAGGGTTAGAGAAGAAGAAGATAGGAGAGAGACGAGAGGGACGAGGCATGGACATGGACATGGATATGGATATGATTCATATGAGAGAACAAGACGAGATACTCACGATGAAGATGATCGACGACGTCGAGAAAGAAGAGCTAGGAGGGAAGCGAATAGACGGTTTGACGAACAGTATGAGATTGAAGAGCTTCCCGTCTGATGCCTTACTTTTATATTTCTTTTGGATCAGGTTTTGGGAGATATTCATCACGGTATCAAACTATTCAGGAAGGAAAGGGACGGATATTTAGGGAAGGATAAGGAAATCGGAGGAATAAGGATAGCTTGGTACATAAAGCAGAAGTCGGATACTTCCAGCTATTATCTCATCTGGGCCCACGGTTACAAGGACATACGGAATGACAGACCCAGGAAATGGAGGTTTGATATGGAATTATGATACATGCATGGAGACAGATACCTTTCTTTATCGAGTCTGGGGATGGATCTAAAATCGAACATTTTCGAATGCGTAGATTTATTTTCTTTTTAATTAATTACTTTATTGGGTTCTTGAGAGAGAGACGGAACAGTTTCCTAAATCATTCTTTGCGGTTGCATTTCGGCCAAGTGATAACTACCTAGTATTCCTTACAAGCATACATAACACAAACACGTCTTTGGGAAAAGAAAATAATTGTGAAGAATTACGATCATGTATTTTGCGTGAATGTTCATTTATCGTAAGACAGGAGATACTTTGCACTCGTGGTAAATATCGATACAAATACAACACCAATCTAATACTCCTCACCGCGCAAGCTCTCTACCGAGACACTATTGACCGCAACACTCCTTTTAAATTTTGAGCCCGACGACTCTGGTACCACCAAAAAACACCGAGTCCCTTGTTTCAGAGTGAGACTTTAGTATTGCCCCCTTCCAAAATCCACACATTGATAATCCTGCCCATCCCCTCTTTCCAAAAACGCCGAACACATGCCCCAAAATCCAAAGTCCACATACCCCTATATGTCAAAACTCTCCGGATCCTCTTCCATGAAAATCTTGTACACCCTCCTACTAATTGCTTTCCCAATCTTCGTGTCCGTAAGCGCACCATTCTTATTCGCCAATTTTCGACATCCTTCTAATGCCGACGAACCATTTTCTTTGAATCCCTGTAACAGAGCCTGAGGAGTGGGATATTCAGCTACTATTCCCTCTGCCATCTTCTCTGTAACATGATGTATCTCCTCCAGCATTTTGATATACGTATCTGTGGTATCTTTCCCAGATTTGAACTGACCGCCCGCCATGCAGAAATTCAAACCGAGAGCTTCGCGTTGGGCTAGATATGGAATTGTAGATATGTGCTTGGTAAATTGTGCGACCCATTTTGCGCTATCTTGTGTGTTGGTACTCAAACGGTGCTGTACTTTATGGAGGACTTCCAGTTTGAGCAGAGAGTCTTCAATGATACTGTCTGCGTTCTCAATGTACTCGTCTGCTTGTGTTGCTTTTCTCTTCTGATTGCTACTGCTACTAGCCACTTCATCCTCTGGGATTCGACTTCTCACGGCAGCTTGATACTGTCGGTCTTTGATGTTCCGATTTTTGTTTTGCCATGCAGTCAGACCTTCAATAAGGTATATCAACTTGCATGATTCGAATTGTGATTTGAGGATAGAAACATGAGTATCTAGATCCACATCTCCTCTTCCTAAAGCCATATCAACGAACTTCTTAGCTGGCATGATACATAGAATGTGCTTTTCATCCTTGATTTGCCGTGGTATGGGTTCCCATATATCACTTTCTTCATTGTATTCCGAAATGACCTTTCGACGCCACTTGATGACTAGATCTGAATTCTCCCATTGCGACTGCTGAACTTCCAATTCCGTCAGTAAAACATCGATTCTAGTTCTCAGTGCCATATGACTTTTATCTTGAATACATGAAGGCAAATCAACAATCATTTCCGGAGTCGAAATTTCGGGCTTGGTACGATCGACGTTGACCTTCGCCAGATCCTTTGCCTTTTCTTTTTCTCGCTCCTTCTCTGCTTTGGCATACTCTTTATCGATACGCTTTTGCTCCCTCTCAGCATCTTTTGCCGCCTTCTTTTCTGCTGCACTTGAAGCCTTTTCTTTAGATTTATCAACCTTCTCTCGCTTCTTCTTCTTCTCGGGTGTGGAATCATCATAATTATGTAGCATTGGCTCTTCAATCGCTTTCGATCGCCTTGGTGGCGGATTCCAAGATTTCAGATTCTCAATGGATGGAAAGTCATCTTCATCCTCGACATCCAAAAATATTGGCTTGCTGGTTTTCTTCCGTGGTATCTCCACTTCGTCATCATCATCATCGTCATATCGGATGGAAGATGACTTTCCCTTGCCATGTTTCGAACGGGCAGCGGACACATCCGGCGAGCTTGTAAACAATAAAGGGTCTGCCCCCAAAGAGTTTGATCTGTTTAAACTGTATTTGTGTGGTCCTGCTTTACTTGTTCGGAGGGACTCAATATTCGAAACAGTACGTTTGTATCCGCCTGCTGCCCTCGGTACTTTGTCTTTTGGTGGTAATTCTTTCTGTCGTTTCGCAGGTGGCGGAGAGGTAAATGGGTCGTCTGAATCTGTTATTTCGATAGGAGCATTGTCATCTTGTCGCTGCTTTGAGGCTCCAATATCCCGCTTTACAGGTGCACTATTCAATACAGAACCAATGGTCGTGTCGAAATCATCAGACCACAATTGGAGTTCATTGCCATCATCGAGTTGTACTATCTTGGAAGCTTTTGGTTTGGGAGATCGTATCGGGGGATTTGGTGGCGGGGCCTTCGCTGTCTCAATACTAGTCGCATTATCGAAATTGGTAAAACTAAAGTCAAAGAGCTGGACCGTCGGCGGTCTGGGGATATTCTGTGATAGATCTTTGAGTGGAGCTTTGGGAGCGACGACAGGTGCGACTTTTGCGACTTTTGCACGAGTCTTCGGGAGTTCTGGTTCTGGACTCGAACTTATCAAATCAATAAACTCCTGCATTTTATTGAGATCAGAATTGCCGGCGATTGTGTGCGCACAATCCAAAACAATTGAAAATAGTACGTGGAATTGAAAGAAAGCAAAGCAAGACAATTGGCGGCATAGACAAATTCTAATTGAATTTGTGTTTCGTTTGCGATCCTTTGTCACATACTGTCAACGCGACTGATACGCGCTAGAGCTCGTTATCACGTGGTGTAAGAGGCATTACGCAAGCTGCACGGCTCAACCACCAGTGGGTGCACAGACTCACGGGACACTTAAGAGGAAAAGCACAATTTCACACCAAAAAGAGCTGTTTTGATAATTCAATTAAAATTCAAAAAACCTGATATTTGATTTTGAAATTAAAAACTATTATTCTCAAATATAAAAGTTTTATATAATAAAAGTTTTATTTCAAAAAAAAACAAAATTCAAATTTATATAATTGATTATATAATATCCCATCAAAAAATTTGGTAGAAAAACATACTATTTGATTTTTAAATTTATTATTCATTTTTAAAATTCAATCTTTATATATTATATAAATCTTATATTTATAAATCATATATTTTAATCTGAATAATATTAAATAAAATTTGGAATTTTGATTAAATTTTGAAGTTGATAAATTTGAATGTGAAATTGTACTTTCCTATCACATTATCCCGTGAGTCTGTGCACCCCCTGGTGAACCTAGTCCGTCAATACTTTGACCGGATTCCTTTCTTCGGGAAACATGCAGGAATGAACTCATTCAATCAAAGCAAATACGAGTCTATAGGTATTAAATTTTGGTACCATAAGTGTGTTGAACCATAGATCGTTCAGTTGAAAGTTGGTAGGTATATTCCAATGGAGAATCTTGTTGGGGCCTAGACATCGCAGTCAATACGCATTTCTTGACCCCTCTCGACCCCCTAGCCTCTTTTGCTTCATCATATCACGCGAGATAACACTCATAACCCAACATATCGCTAGCACTCTATCTAAGCATTTGCATGATATAAGCGCTAATAATCTGTACTTTTGCAACCTCTTTGGTGGCTTAGATCATATCGCCCATCTAGTTTAACCAAAGCGTTGTGCAGTTGACGCGCTGACCGCTGGCTTGCATATATCGGTAAAAATCTACAATTCACCATGGCCTATGAATTGTCCTGCAATGGCAAGCTGACAAGGCTGGGTTCTGTTCCCTGTACTATTTGCTGTTCCATCTTGAGGCTCGCGCAGATGAGAACTATCATATTACGAAGATCTCTATATCCTGCCTACTCTCAGTTTGGCTATGTCAGTGTTATTCAAGCATTTCATGAATCTTCGAATTTGATATTTTATCAAACAGTTTCCTTCCTTTGCACTATATACGTGTGTGTATAGATGTTATAAGACATATCATTTTGTGTTTCGAATATGGATCCATTATCTATTTTGGGCGCCATCGCAGCCTCCTCTCAAATCGCCCGGCAAAGCTACGATGCCATTAAATTCTTGAACGATATCAAGACGCAAATACAGAATGGTCCGAAGAAGATTCGGGGACAAATACAACACATCGAGCAATTCATCAATCTTCTAGCATTAGTTATTAAGAATACCTCTTTACAAACCTCCGAAGTGTATTCGGTTGTGAAAACTTGTTCTGATTCTGCAAAGGATATTAAGGACAGCCTCGAAAGTTATCTTGCTACTCCGGATGAAGGAAAAAGAGTCAAATTTCGAGAGGCATTTATAGCAGTGAGATCAGAAAAAAAGATATCCTCTATGATTGCAGATCTCGAAAGAGAGAAGTCCTTGTTGAGTCTCCATATCCAAAAGATTGATTTGTAAGAGCGCACAACTACGATACATTCACTCTCCTGATTCTCAAAGATCTCTATTGCAAACAGTTGATCTCAACGCAAAAGAAATTAAATTGACAATTGGCACGGTTGCAAATGATGTTACGGATGTCAAATCTATACTTATATCGGTAGCCAAACAAATTGCTACATTTCCACACAACTTCCAACTAATACTCACCTAGATGAATTCTCGATCGGATGTTGTGGCTCCCACAGAAAACATCAACAAAAACCACTTCATCGTGCCAAATCGCCGTGTTAGTGGCTTTATTGGGCGTGAAGATATCCTGAACAAGATCGAGAAGGGGTTATCCTCTGAATCTGAGTCTCGTATTGTTGTCCTTCGAGGGTTAGGAGGCCAAGGTAAAACTCAAATTGCACTTGAGTACTGCCATCGTGCAAGAAAGAACAATATTCGAGCCATATTCTGATTGATGCAACATCCAAGAGCACTGTCAAGAAAGATTTCATGTCATTACTGGAGCATATCAAAGGCCCTGCTGACTCAACGCAAGATGACCAAGTAGTTACTTCCGTTTTAAATAGACTTCGAGACTGGGATGAGCCATGGCTAATAATTTTCGATAATCATGATGACCCATCAAGTTTTCATCTCCCCGATTTTATGCCACCAGGGCAACATGGACAATGTTTGATCACGAGTAGACACGCAGATACTGGAGTCCTAGCCGAAACAGATTACGACATTGAGCTACGTGGGCTCCCGAAAGATGATGCTTGTGATCTTTTCATCAAACAAAGCCGGGTAGGCGATACCGCATCGCGCGATGACGCATACGCTATCGTTGATCGCTTGGGGTACCACCCACTAGCTATAACAGGCTGGATCATATATCCAAAGTCAAAAGATTGTATCATCCCAGTTTATGGATAAATATAATCGCCAACGAGAAACAATTTTACGGGAGACGCCACGAATGTCACAGTATCGACGTAAGATTGGGGAGGCTGCGGACGAAACGGCATTGAACGTCTTTACAACCTGGGAACTTTCCTACCAACAACTAGAGATGCTCGATGATGAGAAGAAGTACAAGTCAAAGATTCTGACTTTATTTGCTTTTTTTAATTGTCAAAATATATCCCAACAATTATTTGAGGCTTATTGCACAATAGAACTCTTCTCCTGCCCTGACATACTAGAGATCGAAGAACTTCTACTCTTGTTTGTTGCTGAAGATGATAAATGGGATGAACAAAAATTTGTGGATATTTTGAATGAACTCTCTCGACTGTCCCTGATCCAAAGATGGTATAGAGACGAGAAGAACCATTGTCATCTGTCTCTACACCCTTTGGTTCAGGACTGGATTCGCGTGCGCACTTCTTCGGAACTTTGCTACGACTCTGCGGTTCTCAGCGCTTATTTCGTTGCAACAGTTCTCGAAAAATATTACTCTCATGAAGAGTATACGATGCCCTTATCTCTGCGGCAAGAACTACTGTCCCATCTTGATTTTTATGAAGAGAATCAAGATTTGATGGTGACACTCAAAAAAGAGGAAGCGTTCGGTAGAGATATGATATACAAACCTTATCTAGAGTTCACGCAATTTTACGGTTACAGCGGCTTTTATAGAGAATCTGAGAAGATTGCTCGTCAGTGGGTGGAGGCGAGTCTATGGAAATATGGACCGGAGGAAACTGAAACTTTAGATGCTCGTACATGGTTGTCAAGTGCATTGTCTGTGCAAAGTTTTTTCGAAGAATCGTTTCATATAGACCGAGAGGTGCTAAAAGTTCGCAGAAAAAATTATGGTTCCGAAAATCCTGATGTATTGAAAGATACACACAACCTTGCATGGAGTCTAATGGAAAGAGGAAAACTTGTTAAAGCCGAGAGGATTTTCAGACGAGTCATCAAGATAAAGGACAGGGTTCTCGGGCATGATCACATAGAGACATTAAGAAGTGTCGTCGCCCTTGGTCGTGTTTTCCAAAGTGCAGGGAAATATGCTGATGCTGAAACCCTTTTCCGTAACTTGGTCCGCGACAGCCAAAGAATATTTGAATCGACTCATAGGATCACAAGCCAGTATCTAGATGATTTGGCCTCCGTTCTCGAAGATCAAGAAAGATATTCCGAATCCCTAACGTGTTTTGAACGTGTTTATGCACATCGATTAGCAACACTGGGGCCCAACAATCCTAAAACACTACGCTCGGAGGATTATTGCGCGATTGTACGCAAGAGACTCGAACAGCAATTAAGAGACGGGCAGAGAAAAGCCAGAAGAGGATCATCCGAAAGTCAAACCTCCGATTCTGAAAGCGATACAGAATCCGAAGTCTCTAAGCTCGGTGATGAATATATTTTCTCCACATACGAGCGAAATTTACTCTGGTCATCTGATTCGGATATAGAGCAATATCTATACTTGACTTCCAGAGGAGAAGAAGGATAGGAGGAAGAAAGTGAGGAAGAAAATGAGGACGAATATTAAGATGAAGACGAAGAAGGTGATGAGGAGGAAGACGCGGATTCAATCATTTGGACAAAAAACGAAACCATCGATAGCCAAGTACCAGAAGCTCTAAAGGGTGGACGAGACGCGAGCGAGGAATCAGTACCAGAGAAGCAAGAGGAGAAAAAAGGCAAGCTCGAGACAGATGAGTATTTGGAAGATTGAGGAGGATACGATATACGGAGACTGTAAACGGCAGATGATCGAGAGGTTGACTGTCACTGAAAACGATTGAAAACGCTTCAATTTTATAATGGTAAATTGCAACGAAGGTGTTGATCTCTGTAATCTTCTTTCGGATTGAAATGTGCAACCTGCAGGATACCACTAATTGCGTATATTTTTTCTACCTTTTTTTCTTATGGAGCCTATTCATACCCATCTAGTTAGACTACAAATACCATATTTCATTCTCCACAAGACTTTTCCAATTATTTTCCAATTATTCTAGTCTACTAATTCGAATAAATCGATCCAAATTCGCTCTTATAGCCATACAATACAAATTTTCAGTCCGAAATCCATATCTCCACAATTCCATCGAATATTTCTAAATCGTCTACTATGATCATATACTACAAATTTTCACTGCAAAATCTATAATTCCATAATTCCGTAATTCCGTCGAATATTCCCGGATTGTCAATCATAATTACACACCACGAAGTTTCATTGCGAAATCCATAATTCCGTAATTCCGTATAACATTTCCGGATCATCGACCTCATGCAATATGCATAGCCCAAAAAACAGCCAAACCCTGTGAAACAAGTGTAGAAACTTGGAATTCTTTGCGGAAAATTCCATGCAGAGTAGATCAGACTCTACTCAACGACCCAAGAGAACAAGTAAGGGTGCTTTCGTTACCAAATGAATGTATCTTAAGTTTTTGCATGACCAACAGGAACTACATAAACCAAAGAGATGTGGGCCCAAGATGTGGCAGCAGCTATATCTTGGAATAACATTTGGTCTTTGCGCTGGCTGGAAATTAACATATAATCCCTCTCCCATTTCCTTTAATAGCCTTCACTTAGCCCTTCCTTGTTACTTCAATCTCGAAGTATGTCTCATTTTGTGGCGAACCGCAAAGTCAAATCCGTCAAAGCTGGCGACTTCGTGGAGAGATGCGCTTTCACCACTGAAAAACGTATATTGGAAAAAGGTTGGACGCAAGCTGCGGGCACCAGACCTCTGCCAATCGACCTGATCTGGGAGAAAGATGTACCAATCAAGCTGAGAGATGGAGTGATACTATATGGAGATGTGTTCCGCGCCTTGGAAAGTGACAACTCTCCACAGCCCGCATTGCTTCCGTGGAGTCCGTATGGTAAGACCGGTAGTGGTAGGTGTTTCTATCAGATATGCAGGGTGCTGTTCTTGGAGTGCTAATATTTTACCTAGGACATTTTCTACTCAATATGTTCCCCTCGCGCGTTGGTATTCCATTAGCAGCTACGAGCGGCTTGGAAAAATTCGAAGGCCCTGATCCGGCAGAATGGTGCAAGAGAGGCTATGCTGTTGTGAACGTTGATGCTCGTAGGGCCTTCAATTCACAAGGAGACATACAGGTTTTTGGAACTCAAGTAGGTGTATCTACCACAAATCAACTGTATTGGCACTGACATAATCGAAAATTAGGAGGGCCGTGACGGCTATGATACGATTGAATGGATTGCTGCTCAATCATGGTGCAACGGATCTGTCGCACTCGCGGGGAACTCCTGGCTCGGTGCAGCCCAATGGTAATTTACCCTCTGCTTCTAACCAACGTCTTGTTGATTAATTTCGTCTAGGTTCATAGCTGCCGAAAATCCGCCTCATCTCAAGGCTATCGCGCCGTGGGAAGGGCTTGGGGATTTCTACCGTGAATCCATTTGTCGGGGAGGTATTCCTGACCGCGCCTTCTGGAACGAATTATTTTCTACTTTCGGTGGCAAGAACCAAAGAGAAGATGTGTGTGCAATGGTAGATGAACATCCACTATGGAACTGGTACTGGGAAGATAAGAAACCCAAGCTTGGCAGAATCAACGTACCAATTTATGCTACAGCCAGTTACTCAACTGGTCTACATACCGAGGGTTCTTTTCGTGGATATCTCTTGTCATCCTCGTCTGAAAAATGGTACGCCAAGAATTCAGCAGCAAGTCACCTACCTTACCCAGAGTAAGTGCTAACCAGTCTTCATAGGTTACGGATTCACACTACTCAAGAATGGCACGATCTATATCAGTCAGACAACAACGATGACTTACAAAGATTCTTTGATCATTTCATGATTTCTGCCAACAATGGATGGGAAAACACTCCCCGGATTCGCCTGTCTTTGTTGGGTTACAACAGGCCTAATGTAGTCAACCGACCAGTCACCACTTACCCCCCACCAGAATTTCAGTATCAGAATTTCTATCTCGATACAGCCACGAATCATCTATCGACGCGTCCTATCGAATCAGTCTGCTCCACGAGCTATGATGCAGAAGCAAGGGGCTGTAACTTTAGCCGATTTGAATTCAAATTCGACAAATACACCGAACTTTCTGGTTTCTCCAAGGTGCGGCTTTTTATGTCTACTCCAGATCACAATGACATGGACGTTTTTGTCTTATTACGAAAACTAGACCCCAAGGGTAACGCATTGGAGTACTTCAACATCCCATTCAAAGACCTACCCGAAGGCACAAAACCCGAAGATATCCCAAAAGAAAATATCTGGAGATATGTTGGTCCCAATGGTCGCTTGCGAGCCTCGCACAGAGCTACATTGCCTGAGCCTGGACTTTCCTCAGATCAGCGAAAACTCTTGTCTGATGCCTATGTTTGGCATCCTCATGACAAGGAGGAGAAGCTTGGCAAGAATGAGATTGTGGAGCTGCAAATCTCGCTCTGGCCAGGGGGCATGATATTCGACAAAGACGAATCAATGGCATTGGAGGTCAGCGGATTTTGCGGGATTCGACCCGAATTTGAGAAGTTGCGAGACTCCCTTACCAACTACAATGTAGGTCGCCACATCATTCATTCTGGCGGTCAGTATCCATCGTCATTTCTAGTAGCTACAAGTAATCATCAGAAAGAGTCTTCGGATTAGATGTAATGGTTCATTCTCATACTTAAACCCTTTCGGAACGAGTCGTATGTCATAATGTCATTGAAATTATGTACAAAAGAGGATCCCAACTCTTCCCAGTATGTGCCTGTATATTTTGTTTTGTGGAGAACACGTTCATTAACCCCGAGAAGATGTTAGATAGACTGGCTTTAAACTTTCGTTTGTATACCATTAAACAGTTGCCGAATTTTATGCTTTGTTGAAAATTTATGAATGTGAAATAACATACCGCCACTTTTTCCCCCATCGCGCGTCATCAGGTTCCTCGCTTCCTTCTACATCTCTCTCGGACGGAAATAAATTAGGCCTTGATTGCCACTGTATATATAGCTGTTGAGTAAAAGCAACTAACCATACGTTCTCTATCCATCGGTGTCCCAGTATGCAAAAGTGTACCAATGCTACTATTGAGCTATGTGATGATGAAGTGGTTAGTATAGAAAAAGATTGCGACTCGAAGTCAAAAATGTATCAAATTCACTAGTGCAATATGTGCTATTTCTGAATCTACCCAACCTCCCTGTGGAATTTTGAATCCAAAATCCAAAATCACGATACAAATAGGCCAAGATCAAGCGGCCATGAATTAAAATCCCATGCAGCATCATCCACGCTCAATTGCGAGTCTATGATGTCCAGCATCCAATCGGTTGATGGCTGTTGTAATAATTCGGAGTCAAGACTTTCCATATCCAGGACGGAATGTAAAGATTTGGCTTGATGAGCACTTGCTATAGCCTCGGATGTCGGTTGTGATATTGCAGACAACATCCGCTCAATAGCGAAAATACTGCATGAAATGGCCTCCGAGGATATCATCTGTCGAAGATGGTGAAGCGCAGTTTTGATAAAATAAAAGTGCTTGTCTGTGGTATCCTTATCTCTCAAGATATCCCAGACAAGTACAAAGCAAGCGCTCTCGATGTAATAAGCGTTGTATCTCAAATTCTAGAATGATTAGCTAAGTTGATTTGCATGATTGAGGGGCTCAACCGAGGATAAGGAGTTTGAAATGCATTTACATTAATTAAAGAATTCGCCTTCGCAGCTCTACTAGCAAAAGCTATTAGCTCTTGAGCGGCAAAAACTGCTACTTGGCATGCTTTATGAAGCCACAGAGGGGTAATATTCTCCGAAGCCGGCACTTTTTCAGCAGTCTGCTGTCTGATGTGAAAGATCAAGAATGGTCGAAAAGTGAGGATGAGAGTATGATTGTAGAAATTGGACGAGAACAGTTGTTCAAGAGTAGGATGAGCTGAGGATTGTAAGTTAAATTGCAACTTGTCTTCAAGACTGAGCTTTATGGCCTGTAACTTGCGATGTATATCCCAAGCGGCTTCAATGTTCGCCTTGAAGTGGATACCACCTGATCTGTAGACAGAATGACTCGCTGTAGATGCTAAGGATGCAATCTCTACCCAAGCACGTAAGAACGTTGGTTTAGTAGGATAGCCTAAAGATATAGTATTCTCGGACAAGGCCGCCGGTCTGCCCAGACTGAAGGATGTCATACTACTGTAACGTTAAATTATTGACACATATACATTTCGGGCAATTGTATACCATTCGAACGAGTACAGAGACCAGAATGTCTCGAGCCTTTCTTCTTTAAACTCAGAGACTGAAAGCGACGAGGCTGCTCTGTGCAGACCGACGGCATGAGCTTTTCGGACTGCGGTGCCGAGATGTAAGTACGCAGAATTTATACGTCCAACTACTGCTTGATAGTGGGCGTAATCATAGGTTAGTCTATAACTCAAATCAAGATATCTGACAAAGTTAAACCTATCAAAAACAAGGGCAGCTGAACAGCTTGAACATTAACGAGGTCTTCAATGGTATGCATTTCAGACTTTGCTCTTAAAAATAGATCTTCCCCTAATTGCACGTGCTCTGTCAAAGTCGCTCCTAAAGCTAAAATAGCCATAAGGATACCGCGCTCTAGAGCGCTACCGCTCGAGGTATTTGGGAAAGAGTAGAATATTTGAAGCATTCCCTCTATTCGCGTCCGTGAAATGAATGGGAAGAATGGTCCAAGAGTTGATATAAAAAGGTCGACAAAGCTGTTCGCAAGATGTTCCGGCAGAAGCAGCATCTGTGTTGAGCTCCTTGATGTAAGATCAGAAGACTTATTCCCAAAAAACAGTCTTCGATAGCCGAACCAGTCTAGAGCCGTATCACCATCACCCGCTCTAGGGTTGGTACTACTGAAAGGAGCTTTTACAATGGGCTTGAGCTGCTGATATATTTGTTGTAGAAATGCAAAATTGGATGGAGGGCCGTAATATAGTTGAGGTGATGACGTCAGAGAACTGTTGTCGTCGGTAGCTGTTATGTGATCGCCATACTGCTCGTCGCCGGGTAACATGCTAGGTAAAAGAGGTTGTTGAGTCCCCTCCGAGGTTTTTTCGACTCCTTCATCTTCCTCCGCCTGTGGGACATGATGTTCGCGGGAAGAGGATGCCTTGCCCTTTTTTCGCCGCCGAACGTAAGATCGGAAGTGACATGTTCCACCATACTTCCTGCAAATAGCACAGGGCAAGCCACCATTGCACTTAGTCTTTCGTCGCCTACATTCATCGCAAGCCTTTCCTATCGATTTCCGAACTCCTTTTCGCGGTGAGGTAGCGGAACCAGACATTCCGACAAAGCACATTTAAACTGAGGAGCGTCGTTAACATTGTAACGTTTTTACTCAAATGTTAGGTGATTTGAAACTGCGGACTTTAGAGAATACCGAGGCTCCGAGAATAATAAGAATAATAAGAATTCAAGTATATTAAATATTAAGTAAGGACTTAAGAGTTGATTCTTATGTTTATAATACTATATCACATCATACTAGTTATCATGAAGACTATTAGAAAAATACAAATTCATTGATTTTAAAGAAATCAGTTGTTAAAACACTTCTAAGAATTCAATCCCTTTTCGAACAATTCAATATAAACTCAACATAAACCTCTAAAGGTATCTATCCATATTACTAACATTCAAAGCTACAATATCAACACATTGAAAATTATCCACACAGTAGAAACATACACGTAATAAAGACATCATTGACTATCATTCCAAAAACTACTTAAACAAAGCTACCTACATAGCCCCAGACAAACGAATGACTTCAAAACCTCAACTAACGCACCCATCCCCTTCTCAAAATATCACAAAAACGTGTGTTTATAATAGGAAGCGAGATGATCGAGAATAGTCCGAATAGGATATTCTAGAAACATCTGACAATCTGTGTGGAAATGAATGTAAAAACACTTCGCCTCGAGCTCCCTTGGCGAAAAAACTTCCTGAACCTACTCCCACTTCAATCAACATTTCCCCTCTCGCTTCACTAGGTCAAATCTCCACCTTCATCTTCACAATCCCATCTCAAACCCCTGCCCACGCATCCGTTCCACTTCTCTCCCCTAACCCCTCATCCTCCTTCACAACCACTCAAACCGTCGTCGCCGTAGTCCCTACACTACTACTCGTCAGCGTCGCCGCTCCACTACTCGTCGACGGTCTCGGTCCTCCGGGAAACGTCCCATTTGGTCCACCAGGAAACGTACCATTAGGAGGAGGTCCCCCTGGTCCACCACCGCCACCACTGCCAGAAACAGGTACACCTCCATTAGACGTCAACGCGGCCGCAGCTTGGATCGATCCAGCGCGAGTAGGATCGATACCGAAGGCGATCCAGCCGAAGAGACCTTCTGAGACAGTAGAACCTAGGAGAGAATATTCGACGACGGGGTCGCCGAGGGCGGCTTCTTGGACTAGGAGGAGATGGGGGGTTAGTCAGAGTTGTGATGTATGATGTGTGAGGAGAGAAATAGATTACTTACGGAAAATCCCATCGTCAGCATTGGTAGTCGATCCCGGGTTTGGGTTTGTTGAGTAAGGAGTCAACGCCTCGATCTGATTGGAGAGCGAGGTATCGAAGAATAGCTGCCCGATGTGCGAGACTGTTGAGCCTTGATATGTGCCATTGGGAAAGGCTCTGTGTGTGTTGTATCAGTATCATTCTAACTTTTGATATATCATAACTCATTTCGGTTGCAACTGAGAAGGAGAGAGAGAGGAAAAAGAGAGAGAGAAAACCTACGTTCCACCAACATGAGTAGCAACATGAATATGCTGGGTCCTCCCCTGATAATGCCCCGGATAAAACGCCGTAAACTGAGTTGCGCCCTCCTCACCCGTCACCTGAATGCCTCTCGCAAACGTCGCATTAATATTCCCAGGCACCGACGCATCCGTCACTCCACTATACGTTCCCGTGCTGTTCGCATACCAGAAATCGATATACACATCGGGGACGGGCTCGCAGGTGGAGGTATCGATGACTTGGATGTCGAGAATGAGATCGATGCCCGATTGGATGGCGGTTTCGCGCACGTCGGCGCGCACGTATTCGCCGCTGACGTAGAAAGGGCCTTCGGTTACTTCCGGGACGAGAATGCAGGAATTGTTGCCGGTGAAGATGTCGCTGTAGCTGTCGGTGGGGGAGTAGGGGGTGGTGGAGAGATGGCTGGTGTTTAGGACGGTGCCGGAGTCGCGGGCGGAGAGTTCGGGGAGATCGCGGAGTTTGATGATGGAGGCATCTGGGCTTGTCAGTGGGGATTGGGAGATGGTGAGTGAGAGGTTGAGGAATTACCAATGGGGAGACCACGCTTGGCTCGCTCGTTCTGGAGGATCTCGTGTCTTCTATCGGTGGTGCGTTGATGATGACCTCGAGCCTTGAGCTTGGAGTAGCAGCTACTGATATCTCTCTTGTGGAATTCATGAGCTCTTGCAATATGAGCGATTTCTTCCTTAGTGTCATGTCCCGGATGTGCTTGCACAGCAACCAAGGAGGCCACCGTGGGGATGGCGAGACGTGTGAAATGCATGGTGAATAGAATACTCTGGAGAAAAGAAGTTGATGAGCTTGTGAATTCTTCTATTTCTACAGGACGATGTTCTTCACATATATATACATAATTTTGACCCATGTTACAAGCTTCATAGCAAAAACCATTCCAAATCACGTCTTTCAGATGCCAGCGTGCAAAACGAAATGGCATCTTGATGTCGACAGCGCCAAGGCTTCCACGATATTCCCCAGCCAGGCAGTTTCAATTGATCCAGATAGGATATACTTTTCCCGCGAACGACGTCGACAGAATCGAGGAGGTGATTGATTCTTGGGTATATTGAGGATCATCCCAAGACAAAGGTACACGCGTCCAAATGATTCGGATTGGTTTTGAGGATATATTTCCACAACCGCAGGTGTGATTCTCCATCAAAGCGTCTGGGGTACCTGTCAAAACCATGTAGAATTGAGATTCTCCATGCCCGTCCTACAGGAGCGCCATCTTGGCGATATAGGGGGAGGATCAAAAGACATATGCAATTCGTCATACTAGAACAGTAATGCAAGAAATTTGATTGGAACGTCCTTTTCGATAATGACATTCCACCGTCGGAGAAATATTTCTCAACGGGAAGGTAAGAGGAATATTTGCTTGGTGATTGCCCTTAGAAGGTATTGTTGCGATGAATAGCACTTGGCAACTGCGATACCGAAGGATGGAGCTTACCCTAACCTTAATTACGCACATATACAGACACATATGAAACGACTTTCGAATTGCTTGTGATTAGCCGCGCAGAGGAAAAACTGCCGGCAGATGCAGGATTTCCTGGAGAAGCAAAGGATGAGGAGAAATATATAGGATGATCTAGAGAGCTGACGAAGCCTCTCTAGGTTTATATATAAAAAGCAAAATGTAATATGAGTTCATACTTGCACTTGAGGTATGAGTGACATTCACATCGTACAAGATTGGCTGCGCTTACTTAAGACAGTATATAATTCCTGGGTATTTGCATATGGCAATGCCATCCAGGAAAAATCTGGATTTACCGATTACAATATCCAAGTGAAGATTGGACAATTGTGATGCTATTCTGCAAGGAAAAGAGATGGTCGATATTCATGTTATTTCAATCCATTTGTTGTGGTTAGATAGCCAAATTGCGAAATAACTGTTGTTCGGCTTCAGAATTCAAAGAAAATCAAGTCAACCGACGCTATCCGACAATCCATCCAAACAATCCCACCTCAGAAAGCAAACATCGTACACATCCGTCAACCCTCAAATCAATCACCCTTCGAGTAGAATCCTCATCCCATCAATCAATCAATCAATCACAGAGACAAAACTTTTTTCCAAAAATGCGATCAACATAGGAGGTATTGAACCACACCCGATTTGAACGGATAACCTTTCGATCTGGAGTCGAACGCGCTACCGTTGCGCCAGCGGTCCTATTGATCTGAAAGTCGAGCTTTATCAATCAATATATTGTAAGACACCGAGCGCTATTGATAATGAGGCTGGATGAAGCACGTGAGATAAGAGATGTTGGTCCAATCAACGAAAAGTAGATGAAGATGAATGAATGTTGCACATCGCGAAATTGTCACCATGAATCTGTGATATTTTTTGCTGACGGACATGGAATCCAGACTGGAAGAGCAATATCTTATTAGTGGTTTGTGTGCTTTTCAATGAAGGTAGGTATTCATATTGTATTTTAGCCCCATTGCTTTTAGAGATCGTGTTTATTCAGGTTGTTTACAAAGAGATTACAATAACTCTATAATAATAAATAGTACTTTTAAGATCTCAATATATGCAGCATATCCCGTATATTGCGAACGAGAAGATTTGAGTAGTATCACTGTGTTGTCCCAATAATTTATAGGCAATAAAATGCTAAACATATACATGTATCTTCCATTGTCAGGAGTGTATACAATTGTATTCCCTCATAATCTTTCCTGATACTCATCAATACTTCAGATTAACAAATAACATATTACCCATCGATTTGCTGGAGTGGCTTTTTTGAAGTTAACAATGACCTTTGAAATGTAGCTGAGGATGATCCCAATGGTTCATTCTTTTGAATAATCGTATCCATATAAATCTAGGTCCTCAAATCCCCATACTCGAATTTGTAACTTGAGTGTAATACTGGCTGGCGTATACATATTATAGTAAAGACATCAACGACATGTCAGTCGAAATTCGAGATTCAAGCAAACGAATATCTGAGCTGACAAGTCCCTCGGCTAGAGATGTCAAGACCTCAATCTCGCCCCAATATAAAAACGAAAATCAATCGTCTTTACACACCTATCAAAGAAAGGAACTTTTCATCCGTCATAAATCGATTGAGATAAAGTTTTACTACACATATTAAAGACAAGGCTGCGTGATCTAATCGTGCTCTAATCCTTATGTCGTGCGGATCTTAACCGCCCTGATTCAGGGATTTTTGCATTGGTATGCTAATGATTTCCTTCTCTTATTTAATATTGCTGTTGCTAAAATGCGGCTCAACAAGGGAGCCCTATCTAGAGTATAGGAATAATGGCGCCGCCGTGGGGTAGATGAATCTACTTCGGAGCATAAATCGATATTGTGGACGACCGCGAGGGGGAGATCCAGTCGCCTGGAAGTTGGGTCGATTGATACGAATACGACTTAATATAAATGAAGCAGAAATAAATATCATACGATAATGTACTGTTAAGAATTGCATGCCGCCACAAGCTGTCAGAAGTCATACTGTTACCATCCATTTCATCTGATGTTTAAAACATGACCCATATACAGGCTGATAGCTTGTTTATTCGATACCCATGACTCTTGGATGTTCAGGTCTGTGATTTAGCTTGGCCAATGAGATTGCTGATCAAAAGTTTGTTGTTGTAGTGATTGGAGGTGCCACTGGCCATGGGCAAGCATATCCTTACTTGGGAATGAAAAGATCGCGAAGGAGCTTTTTACTTGATACTCTCCACACATAACCAAGGGAGTACCCACTACCCAGCTATTAGTTCTCAAATGAAGACGTCGCGCAGACTCGGCGCACATGGTTCTACCATCATAAAATGTGCCATTATTCGTTGTCGCCGGCTAGACTTGTTGCCCGCATGCTTAGATGCGGGAACTTGGGGAGATCCCTTGATGCTAGACTCAATATTCTTCTCATCAAGGTATCTAAGCGATCTTGGGGCAATATCGGTGCAGAAAACTCGATCAAAAAAGTGTACTTGGGTGACTTTCACTCTGTACCGTGAAATCCGATTCCTCAATCACATGGTCGTAGCGCATGAAAAACTGAATCATGACTACATGATTTCATCCTTGATGCATTTTCGCGTCTTGTTGAAATGCGGAGCTGCCACTCTCTCTTTGAAACTGCCGCGACAATATGTTAAGGCGATAAGGTTCGATAAATATGTACATAGGTAAATCGGTGGTGGCAATCTCTAGGCCATCTGTGGGTTTTGCATGGACGCGGAAAAAAGAACTATTTGGGTTGGTTAGGTCAATGCGTGCGTGATATCTGTGTCGTGATACCGTGATACGAATCTTTTGATATTGCTGAGTCCTGACCGGCCGGTATTGCTGTCACTGAGATTGACAGACGAGGGAGAATTTCATGCTTAGTTGCAAAATCTGGAGACGAAAAACTCATACAACAAGTATATTTATTTTGGTGATGAATTCAAGTTATTGACATGTTCAAATATTAATATAAAGAACTTCGGGATGGTGACGAATCGAGGTCAGTGTCAAGTCTCGAATTTGGTAACGACCGGAGCCGTATCAATGATCCATGGTTCAACGGTTGCTGCTTTGGGATGACTTGCTATTTTGCTCCGAATAACCAACAGTGGGCTCTTGAGTTGCTCATTGCTCATTGCTCATTGCCCAATGTCAATTGTCTTCCCCTCTTGAAATGTATAGGGGAGAGAGTCTTGTTCCGGTGTTCCAGCCTCGATTTGTATAGTAATTTGCGATCAAAATCAAACACATGCAAGGGCCAAGTAGATACTAGGTAGATATCCAATGGATCCCAATAATAAGCACAGATCAAGTTTGGCAGCAGTTTTCATTTTCCAGATGGTTAGTTTGAATACCAAAAATCTTAAATGACCCAAAGGAGAATTCCAGAAGTCCACTCGTGTCGGGGAAATTTGATTGACTGCCGATGACAATAATAACCAAGGCCACATGTGCGGAGACACTACGGAGCTTGGATTCGTATCAATTGTGCTTTAAGTAAGACTCATGTGCTTGTGTGCAGTGTGCACTGTGAATGGGCTTGTGTGGCCCTGTATGATGGGATGGGCGTACCTAAGTTTGCTATCCGTGCCTGGATTCGACCCTTGACCAGTTGGAAAAGAGTTAGAGTTCCTTTTGGTTCATTGGTTACATTCGCACATCCATACGAAGTCCGGAGTAATCAAATTTGAAGGCGGAAAACCACATGTTGACCACGATATAGGTTGATGTTTTGTCGACGGACGGTACGTTAGTAAGTAGTAGTGGTGGTGGTGGTAGCAGTAGTACGCGTCCGGGCGTGTTTGCGCATGAGTTAAGATTTTTGTGTCATATATCAGAAATTGAGGGGAGATTTGATGGATAAATACCTACTGGAGCAAAGCTAGAAACGGCCATGAGCTGAATCTTTTCCTTTTCCCAATAATGTTTGTCTGAGTTGGATCTGTATCCGTTGGTTGGTAATAAGTCTTTACTTCGTATAATAGCTGATCATCGTTACGATATTTGGTAAAGTTGTGTAGACCCTTTTATGAACTAGAGTAAGGGGGAAGAAGCTTGGAAAGGAAACATCCCGTGAGCGAGAGCAGGGTTTTAGGATGAATGAAACCGAACCGTTCGAGATTTCGTTCCTTTTGATGATTATTGATATGATGCATTAATTGGATGGAGGAGATGGAAAGTGGGAGGAGATATGGGGATTGGGTATGAGATAGTGTATATGAGCTCGATGAGCTACCGGTACCTACTAGGTATTCGACGAC